CTGTTATAATCCTTTCCTTTCCCTCCTGAGAAGCTCCAAGCACAGAACAGTTCATAGAAAAATAAAAGAAATGTAGAGTTGGAAAGGGACCCCAAGGGCCCAATTCCGTGGTACAGGCATTGGAATCACAGCTTAAGGTACCTACCCAACCCGTGGGATAGCTCAGTCGGTAGAGCATGAGACTCTTAATCTCAGGGTCATGGATTCAGGCCCCACATTGGACAAAAGATTCCTGCAATGCAGGGGGTTGGATTAGATGACCCTTGTGGTACCTTCCAACTCTACAATTCTGTGACTTAACCTCTATTTATAAACCTCCAGTGAAGGAGAATTCCACCACCTTCCGAGGGAATCTGTTCCACTGTCCAACAGCTCTTACCATCAAAAAGTTTTCCCTAATGTTTGGTCTGAATCTCTTTTCTTGTAATTTGAATTCATCGGTTTGGGTCCCATGCTCTGGATCAACAGAAAACAAGTTTGCTCCCTCTTCCATGTGACAGCCCTTTAGATATTTGAAGATGACTATCATATCACCTCTTAGTCTTCTCTACTCCAGGCTAAACATACCCAACTCCTTTGTGAGTGGGACACAGTGAAGGAGGTGACCTTGAAAGTATGAAGTGCTGAGTATTGTCCTAGCACAATGAGGTGGGGGTGGGGATTGGCGTTGTATTTGTAAACCCTAAAAAACACTTTGTAGGAATGAAAATAATGATAACAAACTAAGCATGGGGAGGTGTGGGGATATATATACCAACTCAGGGAAATATATGTTGGTTGTTTGCCTACCTGAAAATAAACTTGTAATACCAGTTTTTAAAAAGTTAATTCTGGGAGTATGAATTTTCTTGTAAGCCAAGCCCAGTAAATGTTGGTCTGAAGCTGCATGCTCTTTCCAGAATTCTTGTTTTGAAAACAAAGAAGCATAAATGGTCTGCAGTGGGTTGTTGTTTTCATTTCTAATGGATAAAAAAAACACACCTTAGGAGCTATTTTCTGACTTAGTGGATATTTACCGAGCTTCCTGCCAGCCTATAAATGTACGCACATGAACATGGTTACTCATTAGCTTTCTTTAGAAAATGAGGGGTAATAATCACTTGGCAAACTAGTTACAGTTTGCTATGTTTTAAATGAGCAGGAATAACAAAGGAATTGTTAAGGGATTTTCTTAGTCATGTTGAGAGCTTTTTTTTCTAGAAAGGTCTAATACTATATGAATTTTTAAAGTATTACATTATTTACCACAAACTTATGTAAATCTCCCATTGGGCAAGAACCTGGATGGATCAAGCCCTGTTAAGAGAAGGGGTGTTGGTGGTAGGAAGTGGTTTGTGGGCATAAAAGCAGCGTGATGAAATATCCCAGTGTTTGGCCTCTGTGTTGCACAACAACAGGGAAGCTTTAGATACCACAGCTTGGACCTAAAGAAGGGCAACTTCCCTCCTTTCAGTAGCAGCTTCCTGGACTCCCAAAGATCCATGTCCTGGGACCACAGTGTGTGCGCACAGAAGCATGCAACTTACTCACTGTATTACAATGCATGCATGCACACACAAACACTTTTCTCTGGATCCAAGTCAGATGTGACAGGATATTTCTCCGAAAAGTGCACTGTGACTGCCATTTAGATCATTCCAAACAGAATGACCAGAAAATTGTCCCCAGACCTGCCAGAATACCTTCTGAGAGTTCTTTGCTGTATATATAAGATCACATCCCTCTTCTCTCATACAGATTTTTAGAAGTAAATGTGGATTAGAGTCTGTTCTGCACTCATAATAACGCATTGAAAGGCTGGGTGTGGGGGCAGAATCAACTGCTGTATCACTTGTTAACTACCTGCAAGTCCACTTCACACATTAATAGTATTCTGGCACAAGACAAGTCCTGCATGCATGTGAACTGCTGTGTTTATATATGCATGTAGGATCATCATATATTACACTTTAGTCAGAGGAATTACAACATAGTAATGGGTTGTGTTTTCGAGATTTGAAACCCTGGCTGAGAACAAGGGAATTGTTATGTATATGACCCAGTGTGCAATATGTGATCTGGATTTATGCATTTCGAACTAGATAGATTGGAATCTTTGGTTTCTATGGCTCTATAGTTGTGGGTGTTTTGGCAGTTGGAGCAGCTAGCTTATTAGAGGCCCTCCCTGGTTAATAGTGTCTGTGGAAAGCTCAGTGTAGTACTGGAGCACTCAGACATTCACCCATCGTCCCATCAAAGGAACGTAAGAAAATCTGGTCTGTTGGATCATCGCTTTCATCTTGTGCAGTACAGTATCTAAGTTTCCAAAAGTGTGGCTAGCCAGATGCTGAAGTCTACAAGCAGGGCAGGAACATAACAGTTTCCCTAGTTCCTCCCCACTGTGTATTCAGAGGCATGCTGGTATAAGTGCTGGTTTATTTAGTGCTCATATGACTGAAAGCTGGGGTGAAACTAAGCTTTATTTCACCTGGGTCAAAGACCCAGTCTGGCACCCCACATGCACATTTGCGTACACACACACACACAGTCTGGGATCCCCTCTGGAGGCTTCACCTGGGGCTAAAAACTTGGCTAACACACTCCCCCCACACTGAAAGTAAGTCATTTTTAAACGTATTCTCTAATCCCCATTTAAAGGCAATCACCAAAAGGGAATCTCCAAATATCCATCTGCCATTTTTTGTGTGTTTTGAGAGATCTGCTGCTGCCGCGAGTCTCAGAGAAGACTGGGATGTTTGTTGGACTTGTGATTCCTATTGAGCTCTACAGGCGTAATGTTATTTAAATTTTATCAAAGCTGATAGTTTTCAGAAATGGGTGTATATCAGAGCCCTGGTCTTCTTCAAAAGGCAGCAGCTTGTGAACATACTATGGTGAGAGGGAAAAAAGCCAATTTCTCAAAACGCCTATTTTTTTTTTTAGGAATGACAGTCATTCACTTTAGAGCAGAAAGCATTACATGAACGATGCTTCAGAAGTAAGGATGTCAAATAAAATTGCAAAAGTAAGGGATCTTGCATGGAGATGAGCTAAAGTGGAGAGGTTCCAAATCAGGGATTTCTCTGAAAATCAGAGACCTCTGACAGCTTGTTTTGCTGAAAACAAGGTCTCAGGCAAGCTAATTCCTGGCACTATCTTTGCATGTTTTGCAATAGGTTAGTAATTTAGCTTCTCTGTCCTTCAGCCCTTCCTCTCTGAAGAGCATTCATGTGTAAAAAGCCTCTGTTGGGTAAAGAAAAAAAAATATTACCTCTTAGTCAGATAATTTAACTGGGAGCTGACTGAGAGGAAAGACCTGGTAGGGCAAAGTGAGGCATGGCACGTAGTAAGCCTCTTAATATCACTGCTGAATTTGTCATCATTGCAACCTCTTCTTGTGAAAGGCTGCTCCTGGTGAGCTTTAGCAGGGCAATAAGCTGATGAAGGCAGGGCTGACCTGCCATCCCATGCACAAGAGCCTGTTGGATCCGTCCAATGGCCCATCTGGTCCAGCATCCTGTTCTCACAGTGGCCAACCATATGTCTATGGGAAACCTGTAAGAAGGACCTCAGCACAAGAGCTCTCTCCCCTCCTGTGGTTTCCAGAAACTGTTATTCAAAAGCATTACTGCCTCCAGCTGTGGAGGCAGAACATAGCCATCATAGTTAGCAGCCATTGATAGCCTTAAGAATTTGTCTTTAAAAGTTGTCCAAGTGGGTGGGCCATCGCTGCCTCCTATAGCTTAACTATGTGGAGGTAGGGATGGGTGTCTGAAAAGCGCAGCAATGCTTTTTAAAGTTTTGATCCAAACCAGGAGATGGAGGGAGACGTTAGGGCTCTGCTTCAGGCAGTCCCAGTGTGATTTGTCAGCAGGCACCATTCACTGCCTGGTAAATACCTTGTTCATTTTGTTAAACTTTGTAGGATGCATACACACCATACAGATAAAGCAAACCCACCCAAGAATCCTGGGAACTGTGGTTTTAAGAACACTAGAAATTATAATTCAGTGAGGGATAAACTACAATTCCCAGAATCCTTGGGGGAAAACTATGATATAAATGTATTATTATTATTATTATTATTATTATTATTAATTTTGTTTACTGCCCTTTATCTGATATGTACTATATATGATATGTAAACAGTACAGCCATAAATGCAACTTAAATCTTGCAGTTTGTTTTATACTTTTATGACATTGTGGTTTTTTGTCTATTATTTGTATTTACATTTTAATTGTGCTATTCCTCTTGTAAACTGCCCTTTGGGATGGTATAAAAAAACAAAAACATGTCTGTTTGGGCTTGCAGTGTAAGCAGTCAACATGGGCCCCAAAAGAAACATGGTGTTTAGAACAGAACCTAGAGTGGAAGATATTAGTAGCAATGGCTATGAGCAATGAAGACTCTGCCCTTGTTTATAGCACCCAAGTGCCTGAGACTAGCTCTAGTAAATACCTGGTAATTAACTTTTCTGTCTTATTCATCCATATAAGAACAGCACATACATTTAAACTGAACAAAGAACACACGCCAGCCCACTGTTTTACCTTTGCTTATGCTCCAAAAGGAACAAGAGGTATGATGGATTTATATATTCTAGTGTAGCTGTTTATCAGTTCCAGGCATATTTTGTTGTAGGCCCTTGTATGATATATTTATGTACCCCAATCTAGTTTGATTATGCACCAGTATCTAGTTATGCAGATGAAACGTGATTATGAGATTAAGAAATATAAATAAATACAAATACCTGTCTTCAGAATGTAGGTGCATGTTTATATGGGATATTAATAGACATGACTAAGTTATATTTAAGTCCTGCAACAATTGGTAGACAAATCCAAATACTATCTGAGCATGGAGGAGTGGTGTAACCACCACTGCACCTATAGCACTATAGCTCATGCTGCCGGGGAGCTGGGCAGAGGGAGATATCTGACCCTTCACACACACACACACACACACACACACACACACACACTATACCAGTGCAACTGATGGGTTTGGACTGCATCCTGATTTTTTTAAAAACACCAATAAATTCAAACATTTTCAAAGTTTTAGACTTGCCATGTTTCTATCAGCGAATGAATAACAACCAACCAACATTTTTGTATAACTGCTGCTTACAAGGAAATTAATATATGATAATTTTAAATTTCTGTTTGGTGGGCTTCCTAGAGTAAGTGGGTCCTCATGCTTGTGTGCCACTGACATGAATGGGAACCTAACTTTCTAGCTTTATTTTTGGTACCACTGAGTGGCCAATTCCTTCTTCTAAACTTCATCATGGACTACAAACCAGTCAACAAGGATACTCTCTAGCTGCAGAACTAATGAACTTAATAGAACTTGAATAAATAAACATTTCCAGTGCAAATGGAAGCTTGAACAACTTTCAGCCCACAGTGTATAGAACTAGTGTAAAATTGGGGCTATGCACACATCAGTGGCTTAGGATGCAGTGAGGTTGATTTTTCTCAGTGCTTCAGTTCACATTCTTACATTGCTGTACACAGTTGAGAGGGAGTGGGGATGTCTTCACCTGATTTGTTTCTGTGTGCTGATCTCCTGTTTGCTGAAGCTGCTATCTGCCCATGTGTCGTCTGCTGTCTTAAATGTACCCACCTCAGTTTACCTTTTTGAACAGGTTGGAAGTTGGTTTGGGGGGTAGTGCATCAATCAGCAGCAGTTTCTCAAGAAACTACAGGATAAATATGGATTGCTGCTCAAGTCAAGTGTACTCAGCTTCAAACACCAGCGGTGGGAATGCGCTGGAGCCAAAGTAAATGAAAATGGACGTAGCCAACAGAGGGGAGCACCTGTCCCCATCAAGTAAAACAATATAGGTACTTTTCTAATTGACCAATCAGCTCGGTTCTGCCTCCCCTAACAAAAGTCCTGGTTCCCCTTAACCAAGTCCTGTACCCTGGCTACGCCCATGTATATGGCCCACAAGAACTATTTGCAAATGCAAAGTGGGGCAAGTGTAAAATTCAAGTTTATTGCACACTTGGGAATGCACAAATGTGCATGGTGCTTGGCCAGAGTGTGCTTTTCAGGCTTTGTGGTGCAATTTTAGATACCCTTACATCCGTGGTTCCCAACACAGGGGCAATTTGATTTTGAAGGGGGGCAATTGAGAATGAGTTATTTAGAGTTAATGGCTTCCTCCATGTGAATAGGTGCCCACTTTTTGAATAATAAGAATTATATGGGGGGGCATCAGGATTTTAGAAATGCTTAGATGGGGCATGGTCAAAAAAAGGTTGGGAACCACTGCCTTAGATGGAAGTAAGCCCTACTGAGCTTGGTAGGGTTTTTCTTTCTTCTGACTAAAGGCGCCCAGCGAGTTAGTCAGGCTACAGGTGTCTGGCCAGAAGACGACGCCCGGTGATCTGCATGTAACGGCGCTTCCTTCCCATTTTTATTTCGTTGCCCTGCTCCTCGGCGCTGTCGCTGGCCTACAGAGGTGCTGCCCTGCGAGAGGACGCGCGCTCCTTTCCCAGAGAAAGAGGCGGGTTTAGAGGTCTGATTTCCAGCCAGGAGGCCGGCAGAAACCAGCCGGTGGCGCTGCAGCTGCGGAAGAGGGCGGCCCGCCTATTCTCGTCAGGAGGGCCCCGCAGGCTGGAAACGGAACAGAGACATGTCGGAGCGGGGCTGAGGCTTTCTCACAGCCTCAGGAGCAAAGGGGGCGGCAGCAGCAGCGGCGGCGGCGGCGGGACAACGACGGAGGCAGCTGCGCCCGCTGCCCCTAGGCCCCGCAACCGGAGCAGCAGGGGGGAGAGCCGCCGAAGTGGGCGGCGGCGGAGGAAGCGGCGGCTGCAGGAGTGGCGGCGGCGGCGGCGGCGGAGGCAGCAGGCTGGATCCCTCCCCGGGAAGATGAGGCGGAGGCCCGGGGAGCTGAGCGGGCTGAGCTGGGACGCGTTCCTCTCAGCCGCCAGGACAAGATGGCAGCGGCCGAGGAGGCGGCGGCAACAGCAGCAGCAGCAGCAGCAGCCGCAGCCAGAGGCTGAGCCCGGCCTGGGAGGCGTCTCCTGGTAGTAGCGCTCTGGTCATGCCGAGGGCTGCGGCGGCGGCGGGGACTGTAGCGCTGCCGGATCTGTGAAGGTGAGAGGCTGGGAGGAGGCGAGCGAGTGACCGAGCGACCCTTCTTCCCCGCTGAGCGGGCAGAGCCAAGCTGAAACGCCCCCCCGTCCCCTCCCCTGCCCGCCACTATGTTTTGGGAGTTGTTGTGAACAAAAACCGAGGGGGCTGAACAAGGTAACCAAATGAAAAAGCATTTTAATCCCCCCCCTTGGGTAAAAAGAGCTCTCCACCTCTGAACTGGCAGTGGATCCCTGCCCCCCCTACATACCCCTGGCTTCGACCCAAGGAGCTGGGGGCGCCCTGATCTTGGGCTGTAGGGCGAATCCTGTAGGATCGGTCCGGGAAAGTGAGGCAGGTCAGGTTTTCTCGCCGTCAGTTGCCCCTTTTCCGGAACCAGGATTTGTTTGGGAGGCTTTACCACCACCCCCCTCCAAAAAGGGGAAAAGGAAGGCAGGTTTTCTCGGAAGTAAATCCCTTTTGGGACTTCCGAAGAATTGTGCGTGGATTGCAAGTGCCAAGGGGACTGGCTGTACATCCTGTGTTTTATTTGCAGCTAGACGTTGAGTTAGGGCTATCTAGGAGCCTCTCTAATTCCCTACCGGATCTGAGAGCTGGGATAGAAGAAATAGTACGAGAGTACCCGCGAGCATGTGCAGAGTTCTATTTATATTGTACACCCGCACCCGGTCCCCGTGATTCTGGGACTAAGAGGACTGGTTGCAAGGTAAGGACATGATTTCCAAAACAGGGTTGAGTCCTGGCGCACTTCTTTTTACAAGTCAACTGCTGCCTGACATGGGGGCTTAACCTTCGCACATCTTCTTGCTCCATCGGATGAAGCTGGTGACTCAGAAAAAAAAAGGCTTTTAAATGCTGAAGACGGAGCCACATTTTCTAAAACAAAAATAAAACCCACATTTCCTATGTTTCCTTTTTTCCAGTATAAATTGACGAAGTCGAATTAGGAAGATAGTGAGGCTTGCTGCCACCAACAGCTCTGAGAGCCAACAGATTAGTACTGTACTGTATATAAATAGTTCAGCTCCATTTCGTAGTATCGCTCCCATTCTTGCTTTCTGTGGCGGTCTTTTCGTTTGGCAACCAGAATTTTCTCTTTTGTGTGTCTCCCACCCGTTTGCACTTTTGCTAGATAAGCCTGTTCGGGCCTCTGTAAAACTAACCTTTAGGATCTCTGGATATGAAAGAAGAAATGTGACACGACTGCTCCGCTTGCAACTTGCTAGGGCAGCAGGAAGGCGTGGTCGCAAGCTACTCTAGTTACAAGGGATTATTGCTTTCCTTTGGGACTCAGGGATAATTTGCAACTGTAGTTTTGGGAAAGTAATGTCTATTTCCATGTCAGAGAGGGGAAACGCCAACTTAAAATGGTACGTGAAGTGAACATTTGATACTGGCAGTAATTCAGAGCTACAGGGGCTTAAAGTTGATGTAGAATTTAAAACTAATAATCACTTAGTCTTTGATTTCTTTTAAGTGAAATGCTGGTTTTTGTATTTTGTTTTCCCCCTTCATATTGTGGTATAGTTTATTCACTGTAAAACGAAGTACTGTGAAATGATACTGTTTACTTTATCTAGCATTTTAGTTTGTCGTTTTTTGTTGCTTGGTGACAAGCTTAGATACTGATTTGAACAAGAACCGTGTGTAGTCAAGGTTTATTGATTTTTAGATTTTAAATAACTTGATTAAATAAACATTAAACTTTGATATCTGTTACAGGATTCCAGTGCTTTTAGTACAGCAGCTTTATACCCAAACACTTGTTTGGATAACTAACAACTTGTCACATTTTCAACAAGATTTAGGGGGCAATCCTAATCATGTCTACTCAGAAGTAAGTCCTGTTGAATTCAGTGGGACTTACTCCCAAGTAAGTGGGGCTAGGATTTCACTCCAATGTACTATGACATTTACATTATTTTTCTCATTCTAAAAACATATTCATCTAAATTTATCTTTGGATAGAGATTTTGTGCATGTTTTGTAGGTTAAAAATGTTGAGTTCTCTTGGCCAGAGATATTGGTGTCTTATTCTCGTGTGCCTTGTGAAACCAGATACTTGGATATGCATGTAGCTAATTTTGTAAATGCACTTATTTTAAGCCATGACTATGCACTAAGTGCTATATAAAGTGTACTGTTAATCATTGGCTCTTTGTTTTGTGGTGTTCACATCTATTCCTTTTCTAAATTAACAAATCAAGAACAATGATTTTTGGCATTCCCTGTGTACTTTACTTGATAGTTGTTGGATTCTTGTATGACACTAAATAGGCTATTGGAATCTTATTTTTGTGGAAATAAAAACTTGACATCTGTGTATAGCCCTTCTTAGAAAACTAATTAAAAAGTCATGATGCTCTTTTCTTCCTCATAGTAGGGCAGTTATGATGCTGAGTATAGTATTAACTGAAACTACTCAAGCTATAATAAGGCTCATTGTTTGTTTGAATTTTAGTTTCATACACGTGACAAGGAGTAAAGATGTTCTGACAGTTTTTAGAAGTTTGGCTTGTTGGAGACCTTTTGTAAATGCAGTGTTAACATCAGGCTATTTCTTCTGTAGTGCTAAAGTGCCTAATATTAATAAGCGTGTCATTGCGCACACAGATTAAGAAGCACGTAACTAGGTCATGGCTCTAGTATAGAGTTTGTGAATGAGCCAAGCTCTCTTAAAAGGTAATGATTCCATGGAAAAAATATTACATTGGTCACACATAGCTGACCTACTCGAGCTTATTATTATTATGGGTAACTATACATGAACTATATAGCCTATAAATAAGAAGTCTAGCCTATATTGTTTGACTTAGAAAAACAGTACAACCCTGTACCTGTCTACTCAGAAGTCAGTTCAGTGAGGCTTACTCCCACATAAGTGGGTATAGGCTTGCAATCTAATAATTATTTGTAATGTTTGGAAGCTTCTCAAACTCTGTAATCATATTTTTGTTGATGTAAGTATTAGTGGACAATCTTATCTTTTTATAGTTCAAAAAGTTTTTGTATGCAAACTAATGACATACATAAGGACGGTAATAATAATAATAATTTTATTATTTATACCCCGCCCATCTGGCTGGGTTTCCTCAGCCACTCTGGGCGGTTTACAACAGTAAGTGGTTGAAAAGTCAGAGGGTGGTATCTGATTAAGTTGTGCTTCAGAGTGGGCACATTGAAATGCGTAGACTTAAGTATGATGTTGTCTGGGGTGGGGAGCCTCTGGCCTGGGAACTGAATGCAGTCCTCCAGCCCTTGCAAGCATCCCTAGGCTATGTTCTTTTGTTGGGCCACACCCCCCATTGGCCCTGCTTTTTGCCATCCTCAAGTGCTTTTGCCTGTCTGCCTGTCTGAAATGTGATAATGCCTCTTGCTTGTGTAAATGGGAAGGTGAGGGTGCACATGTAGAAATCTCTCATTTTGTGTAGCTAGAATGTGTAGCCCAATGTACAAAAGGAAGAGTTGCACCTGCTGCTTTGCATATTTTTGCCTCTGGGCTTCCCCATTACTGATATGCTTCCCCCAGAGACTGAGAAAGGTTCCCCACTGCTGACCAACCCCCTTTCAATAAGACTGACTTCTGAGCAAACATAGTTGAAGCTGGGCTGCTAATTGGTTCCTTTCCAGAATGCTTAGTCGGTAGGAAACTCTGAAACAAATTTTACATTTAACTTGGTTGAATTTGATGAAGTGAAAGTCATACATAGGCATTTGCTTGGATTTGAGGAAGACTGAGAAAAAAACTATTTCAGTTACTTGTGCTTGTCCTTTAAGACGCGGGTGGTGCTGGTTAAATCACAGAGACTAGGACTTGCCGATCAGAAGGTCGGCGGTTCGCATCCCCTTGACGGGGTGAGCTCCCGTTGCTCGGTCCCTGCTCCTGCCAACCTAGCAGTTCGAAAGCACGTCAAAGTGCAAGTAGATAAATAGGTACTACTCCGGCGGGAAGGTAAACGGCGTTTCCGTACACTGCTCTGGTTCACCAGAAGTGGCTTAGTTATGCTGGCCACATGACCCAGAAGCTGTACACCGGCTCCCTCGGCCTATAGAGCGAGATGAGCGCCGCAACCCCAGAGTCGGCCACGACTGGACCTAATGGTCAGGGGTCCCCTTTACCTTTACCTTTAATGCTCTATAGCTTTTCGTAATTCAGTGACAATCATTCATTTACTCTCCTCCCCCTCCCACAAACCATATGTCAAATACCTTAAGTAGGGACCAGAAAAACATCACTGGACCTAAAGTAACATGTTGAGTGGCATCCTAGTTGTCAACCCAGAGGCAACAATGTCTAAAGAGATCAAGGTGATTTAAATTCCCAAGAAGAAAAGGTTGATTTAAATAACTGATGTAAAACAAGTGTTTAATTTGTATTTTTTAATTTGTATTTCCCGAACAAGCCTAAATAGTAATATAGCAACCAATAAATTGTAACTATGGTAAATAGCTCCCTTAAACTTACCTTGAAGACTAATCCAAAACTCTGACCATCCATTTTTTGTGCTACAGGATCTATGTTTGCTTAGACTGGGGGGGTTGTTGTGATTTAAGGGTGTTTTTTTGGCACTTTTTTTTTGCACATGTAAGAACACTAAGCAAGTTCCTATACTTGGATGCTAAGTGCCCAGAACTTTTCTTATTTATTTTATTTATAAACCTGTCCACCACATTGAACCCAGGACAGATTACAACTAAATGCAGATTTGAAACAAGCAGACCAGCACCACATAAAAATATCTTTGAAAGATTTCAAAGATTTCTTTGTGTTTTCTTTAACGTCAAAGCAGGCTCGTGCAGGCTGCTTGGGGAGGAAGAATAGATAGGAAAGGCTGCTTAAGCCTTTTTGCCTATTATAACTTTTTGAACTACTATTTGTATTGCAGAAGTTATTAGCCTGCCAGCCTTTCCTCCTGCACGTGAAGGTTCGTTCCATGAGAGCCTGAAAAGGAAATAAATATATAAATAATGTTATTGTTGACACAAGTTCATTTGCCAGTTGCCTGGAAGCAGATCTTATTTACCAGTGGCGGCTTTTTAGAAGCCTGTTATGCTTTCTTTCTGTCCCTTGTCTCATAATATCAGGTACTGCTACTTATTTTGTCTCCAGTATTTTCCTCCCGTATAAATTAAGACACGATTATGTCACTCCCTAATTACCTTCTCATCGTCAAGTCGAGAAGTGCTGTTGTTTTCCACGTTACAGTTCAGTGCAATGTTTCTGGTTAATGGTACTTAAAATAGCAGTGACTAGTTGTGCCTGGCATCATGCCCTTGGTGTCTTCAGTTTTCATAACAGTTTCGATTCGGGTATGATTTTGAATAATTTGTTGGGTTCTGACCCTCCGTTTACCAGGAAGTTGTAACGTGTGTTAGATTAAATCTGTAAAGATTAAAAAACACACCAAAAGTATAGCTGCACAGATGCTTTGGGCGGGGGGTGGCGGCAGTCTGAGTATGAGCCATATGTTGGCAATTGCTTGCACTTTGTAACTTTGCTTCTCAATCGCTGTTGCATTTAATCTATTTTGATAAGGGAACCTGTTACTGGAATGCTCCTGAAATACAAGATTGAGCTATGAGAATCCTAAAGTTGATCAGTGCAAGCACCAGCTGTACAAGCATTCTACTTTTATTTTAAGTATTCAGCTATTTTAAAAGTGTAAAGTTGGATGGTCCTTTTACTGTCACTTTTTACCAAACAGAAAGATCCTTCCGAAACTTACCAGATAGGTTTTGTTTTGGCACAAACCCCTGTTAGTAAAAAGTAGTCCCCTGAATACTTGCAGTTCTGTTTAGTTGGCGTACTCTACAATTGTTATATGGAAATGATTTTGGAATAGAAAAGATTGTCTTTTTGGGGGGTTGGAGGGAGGGAATTATCCTTCATGTCACTCTCCTCTCGTCACTTGGTCTAGAAGCAGCTGCTAGGCTTGCCTCTATATTCAGTGCAGCATTATGACATTGTAGTGAGTTGCTATAAAAATCAGGCAGAGGTCTTAACAGAGGCATAACATGTGACACTATCACCTGTGAGTACTGTGTGTAATTATGTAGTGTTTTACATCAAGCTTCCATTAATGTGGGATTATGGCTTGGCTCTGTGGTGCAACCTTAACTGATCCTCTTGATGAATCCCTCCATCTTCTGGAGCAGTTCAAAATGCCTTCCAGCTAGTAACCGTTGGTTCTGATTATTCAATCTACTTAATGTGTGCCTTTGGGCAAGACAGGTTTGGAAAAATTAGGGAAATAATGCTCTCAGTTGCTAAAACATTAGGGTGTGTCAGAAAAGTTGTGAAATCTTTCAAATAAAGTGGGTTTCTATGAGAAAGGTGATGTAAAAAATGTTTTTAGTAAATAAAGCTTGGGGTGGTTCTAGAGCAGGGTGGCACAACTTTTCATATCAAGTGGGCCGCAAGAGTACTTTGACATGGAAGCCACGGGCTACATAGTGCCTTGTTGCATGGGAAGGGGAACAGGAGGCCAAATTTGACGTTAGCCCCAGCCCTCATGCTGCCTTCCCAAAGCTGAGTAAGCTGGGCTTTGGGAAAGAGGTGCGAGGCTCTGGCGGGGTCCTAGAGTACTCCCTTTTTCCTTCCCAAAGTTGGGAAGGCATTAACTAGACTTTGGGAAGGAAGCTGGAGGACTCGTGAACACTGTCAGAGACCTCATGCCTTCTTCCTGAAGCCCAGCACTTATCTTACCTGGCTTTGGGAAGGCAGTGCTAGGGCTGCGGGAAGGGGAGAGGAATGTCTAGGTGCACTTTTTAATAACAAGAATACAAAGCTGAAAATGAAGGAACTGCAGCTAAAATATTATGTTCATTTTTCACATGGTCTAGTCCTTCCCCTGCCCACCTCCTTAATACTCTTAAGAGAGTTTTTCCTCCAGTCTTCAGAGAGTAGCTGGAAGTGGGGAGGCAGAAAAAAGCCCTCCTTTTCTTCCACTCTGCAGTTTTAATCTGAAATCTTAGGCATGGTACTGCGTCTGGAGCTCAGAAAGTGTTCGCGCTAACGAAATTCCCTGTTGCAAAATGCACCTAGAACAATGAGAGTTTCGGACACTGTCCTTAACGCGTGCATTAATATATTTACATACAGGGTTGGCATTATGTTGTATTTTGAAAGGATGCACTGTTGAGATACTCCATTTTATTTTGACTGTTTATTGGCAAAGCAAGTCCTTGAATTGTCATAGATGTACTACAGGCATAGTTCTTTGCATGAAGAAATACTTCCTGCTTGTTGACTTGCACAATGGAGTAGAAATGTTTGTGTGTATTATGTGTTTAATGACATGCAATTCAACATGTGTTGCTTGGAATTTATCTGCTTTAGCATGCCTTGAATTTCATTCCCTGCAGCAAAAGTGAAGGCAGGTATAACAGGCCTAGACTGGAGCAGGTCTCTGAAGAATCCTGTTGTTTTTTCTTGCTCAACTGTAGAAAATTAATTTTGTTAACAGGCATGTCTCTTCTTTTCTTCTGTTCACAGTATATCTACAAAAATAAAGATTAGATGGACAAGTTAGTTTGCTTTTCTGAACTTATTTTAAAAACTCTAAAAGGATTCTCCTATGTTTTAAACAAATCAGTTACCAAGACTGTTTAAGTAGTAATGGGAGAAAGGCTTTTCCCAGTACAGTGGTACCTCGGGTTACATACGCTTCAGGTTACAGACTCCGCTAACCCAGAAATATTACGTTGGGTTAAGAACTTTGCTTCAGGATGAGAAAAGAAATCATGGAGTGGTGGCTAAAGTGGTCTTCAGGTTAAGAACAGTTTCAGGTTCAGAACAGGTTAAGAACAGACCTCCAGAACGAATTAAGTTCTTAACCCGAGGTACCACTGTAAATACTCTGGAAAATTATTGATTGGCAACTTACAAGGTTAAAATACCAGCTGCCATCCTTAACCAGCTAACAAGCTTGTGTTAGGAATGAAGATGAAGTGAGAAGTTTTAGCTACCTTTATATCTACCACTGAGTACTATCTTAGTGTGTGTTTTGCCTGCTGTCTTTTTCAAAGTTCCCCTCTTAAGGGGCCGGGGTGTTTAAGAACCAGAGTAAAAGTCACACAAGAGGCATGTGTAACAGCGTCTCCCTCAGAGTTTTTCAGAGTCTGGGACAGGGGTCAGCAAACTTTTTCAGCAGGGGGGCCGGTCCACTGTTCCTCACACCTTGTGGGGGGCAGACTATATTTTGAAAAAACAAAACGAATTCCTATGCCCCACAAATAACCCAGATATGCATTTTAAATAGAAGGACACATTCTACCCATGTAAAAACACGCTGATTCCTGGACCGTCCGTGGGCTGGATTTAGAAGACGATTGAGCCAGGCCTTAGTTTGCCTATCCATGGTCTGGGAGCTGGGGAGTGACAAGTAGAAAATCAGAAAACATTGAGCTGAAAAAAACAGCTGATGTGGAAAGGGTTATGCAGCATCTCTGCTATTCCCCTGCTTCTCATCACAGCCTCCTGTGGCTGCTTTTCGTTTTGTAAGAGCCCTGTGGGGGCACAGACACACCATCTGGTTTGTCCTTGACAGGAAGCAGGGGAGAAATAGGTGCCTAAAAATTTAAGTGTAGCATCCCTCTGTAGCTCTGCCAATCCAGGTAGGATTTTTGCTGAAAGTTGCCATGACTACATTTCCACGGCCGTGAGTGACCCATAGCCATATTATGGCCCTGGCTATAGTTCTCTATTTTTCTGTTTCTGCTGCTTTCCCCATCACTGCCCTTCCCACCCCCAATCTGTAGTTGCTATTTAGAGATGCCCAAAGTGCTTTAAAACACTGTAATTGTGCGCTGTAATAGTTTTGAATTGTTGACAAAGGCCTTATTGATAAGCTATGGTTTAATGTGAATGAGCAGTATGCTAGTTAGCGCATGCTGCTCAAAAGTTTCCGCAGTGCACTTTCTCCACGCCTGCTGTGCCACAGACGAAACAAACCCGAGTCTGGCTTGTCATTCCTCAAACAAGCAGGAATTTTGGATTATACAGAATTCCTGCTTGAATAATATGAGCTGCCATAATGTTATTTTGTTGCATTTCATTAACTTTTGTATTAGTCAAAATGAATGACTGAATTGTATGTCTATATCAGGGGTCAGCAACCTTTTTCAGCTGTGGGCCGGTCCATCGTCCCTCAGACCATGTGGTGGGCCGGACTATATATTTTTTGGGGGGGGGGATGGACGAATTCCTATGCCCCACAAATAGCCCAGAGATGCATTTTAAATAAAAGCACACATTCTACTCATGTAAAAACACGCTGATTCCCAGACTGTCCATGGTCCGGATTTAGAAGGCGATTGGGCCGCATCCGGCCCACTGGCCTTAGGTTGCCTACCCCTGGTCTATATCAATGATATTGTCAGCAATGTAGTTATTCTATCAAGCAAAATACACATCCTTTAGCATTGCACAAAGGAAGATGGGGACCTTCCTGTATACTTGCTCATTGCTGTAGACCTCCCCCTTTTCAGTTACAGAGCAAAGAAAATTCTTCTTAACCTGTTGTACTTCACTTTGCAATAACCTGTCCCACTCAGGTTGCTGAAGCAGAAAAACGGATCTGTTTCCATGAAAGAAAAAAGAACCCCCCTAATGTTATATCTCACAACTGATCTGGTCAGCATTATTACGATGCAGCTGCAACTTGAAAGCATTCAGCAGTTGGTTAGGTGGTTATGGTAGAGGTGTGTGGGATGGGAAGAAAGGCAGTTAATTCTGGGTCTGATCACATGATCACCTTTTGCTCCAAGGGCTGAATTAAAGTGTGGCCAGCCTTCAGAAAGGCACATTCCAGTGGTGGGTGTGGCTGGGAAAAGTGGGTGTGCTCAAAGATAAAGCAATGAAAGAAACCCAATTCCCTCCAGTTGGATTAATAAAAATTAAACACTAAAGGAAAGCAGTGCCCTCCCGCAAAATAAAATGAGTCTGTTGAGCCTTTCACCTTACCCCCTGCTGTTGTCACTGAAAGCCTGTCTATGAGATGATCATGCCTGCCTCCACCACAGCTCACTTGCTGATCTTGTGATCCTCAGCACCCACAAGAAGCTGGTAATTGAGAGCAGCCTCCCTCCCAGATGCAAGCTGGTTGCTAGGAAACACTAGCAAACTGGCTCACAGAATCCCTCTGGAGTTAGAGAGGAGTGTGGAAAAGGCGCAAAATTCAAACAAGTAAAGTTACAATCAGGAAGCATGTATCATAGCTAACCTAATTCCTATCCTTCCCTTCTAATATGTTGCATTTACACGTGAGCTCAGGTTAGAGAAGAGAGGAATCGGCATCAAAATTACAACTGGACTGCTGCTGTTAGCTGAGCAAAGAACAAAGAATCCAGAAGTGTTTTAAATGTAAGTGTCCTTAATCACAACTGAGCTTAGCAGACCAGCAGCACCATCTGTCTGAATCCTTTTCTGAAACCCTTGACAGTGGGAATCACAAAACAGTACCAAATTCAAAGGTGCTTACAAAAACCAGGCAGTTTTCAAAAATGCATGCTGCTTGCTCTGGTTGCATAGCAGGGAACAAGCTAGAGGAGCCAAACTCAGCAGGATTTAACCACTGCTCATCTGTTGATGTGTGTGTGGGATTACATCCTGCTTATTTGGCTTGGAACAGGCACACAGTAAAGGCAAAATTGAACTGTGCTGAAGTACAGTGGTACCTCGGGTTACATACGCTTCAGGTTACAGACTCCACTAACCCAGAAATAGTACCTCGGGTTAAGAACTTTGCTTCAGGATGAGAACAGAAATTGTGCAGCAGCGGCGCAGTGGCAGCAGGAGGCCCCATTAGCTAAAGTGGTGCTTCAGGTTAAGAACAGTTTCAGATTAAGAACAGACCTCCAGAACGAATTAAGTTCTTAACCCGAGGTACCACTGTAGTCTGCATGCTACTTGGTGACATAGTGATTTACATGCACTGTACCTGCAATGGAGTCGAAACAGTCTCAAGTGGAAATATTTGGCTTAGAATGAGAATAGGTAGGAATTCCTCCCCCAAAACTGTGGGGAGTGGAAATCTTTGAAAGATTTATGGAGACGGGGTGCTTACCATGAGAAAAAAGTGCCAACAGTTGTGTGTCTTCAAACACAACTTGTAATATGTTGCTGCCACATGTAGTCGTTTTTGGTTGTTGTTTTTTTTTTTTGCATGTGGCTCCCACCATCTGTTTTACTCAAAATGCTGTGGAGTTATGCCATGACTTGGAAACTCTGGTACAAAATGGTGGCCGCCAGCTGCTGGGAAGAGCTCCGCTGTCACTTGTGGTAGTATATATTTAGTTGTTTGCTAGATTTTTGGCCCACTTGTCAGGGTGTAAATCCTTGGATGTCAGTTACAAGGTACTTTAAAATAAATAAAAATATTCAGTACACGAATAATTGAAATAACAAAGCAGCAGCAGATAAAACCTCAGTTAAAAGCAAAACTAATTTAAAATTGGGATGCGGGTGGCGCTGTGGGTAAAACCTCAGCGCCTAGGACTTGCCGATCGTCAGGTCGGTGGTTCGAATCCCCGCGGCGGGGTGCGCTCCCGTTGCTCGGTCCCAGCGCCTGCCAACCTAGCAGTTTGAAAGCACCCCCGGGTGCAAGTAGATAAATAGGGACTGCTTACTAGCGGGAAGGTAAATGGCGTTTCGCTGGCTCGCCAGATGCAGCTTGTCACACTGGCCACGTGACCTGGAAGTGTCTTCGGACAGCGCTGGCCCCCGGCCTCTTAAGCGAGATGGGCGCGCAACCCCAGAGGGACTCGACTGGCCCGTACGGGCAGGGGTACCTTTACCTTTACCTAATTTAAAATTAACCATAGGCAGACTGGAATAAACAAGCATTTAACATACTCCTGGAAGTTAGCAAAAAGGAGACCATAGGCACTTACCAGGAGAGGGTGTACGACAAAAATGGTCACAAGTATTTACTAATTATGGTCCTCTCAGAGAGCAGGGCTTCAGATGCTGAACTTGAGCATCAGACTATTACAGGTGCAGGTGGTCTTTCACATAACGCAGTCGCAAGCCACTTAGGGCTTTAAAGGCTAATACCAACAGCTTAAATTGGTCCTGGAAACAAATAAGCAGCCAGCATAACTGACACAGAATAAGTGTCACATGGCTCAGGAGTTCTAGCTGCTGTCTTCTGCTCCAATTGTAATTTCAGTACCATCTTCCCGGGCAACCCCATGTAAAGTGCATTACAGTGAGTAAGCTTGGATGTAACTGGAGCATGTGCTGCTGAGGCAAGGCCAGCTTTTTACAGCTGGCGAACCAGCACAAGCTAATAAAAAACACTCCTGGGTGCCAACACCACTTGCATCTCCATGGTAACCACCACTGAGCAGAGGTGAACAGCACACCTGGCTCTTTGGGGGGAGTTTAGCCCCATCCAGAATAAGCAGATCTCCCCACTCATAACACTTCCATCTTCTCTGGGCTAAGCTTCAGCTTGTTTGCTCCCACCCACAAATTGCTCCCAAACACCTGCTTAGGATTTCCACAACGTCCTTGGGATTAGAAGACGAAAACAAGTTCAAAGCTGCTTACTATCTGCATCTGGCATTTTAGCCCAAACATTTGGATGATTTTACCCAGCAGTTTTACATAGATGTTAGAAAGCTTAGGGAACCTTGAGGCACATCAAAATCTTGGGGTGGAACAGAGGTCTCACAGCATCACCTTTGAATATCGTAAGAAGAGACCTGCTAGGTAAGGTAAGGTAAGGTAAGGTAAAGGACCCCTGGACGGTTAAGTCCAGTCAAAGATGACTATAGGGTGCAGCGCTTATCTTGCTTCAGGCCGAGGGAGCTGGCATTTGTCCACAGACAGTTTACCGGATCATTTGGCCAGCATAACTAAACTGCTTCTGGTGCAACAGAACACCTTGATGGAAGCCAGAGTGCACAGAAACGCCATTTACCTTCCCACTGCAGCGGTACCTATTTATCTACTTGCTCTGGTATGCTTTTGAACTGCTAGGTTGGCGGAAGCTGGGATAGAGCAACAGGAGCTCACCCTGTCGCACGGATTCGAACTGCTGACCTTCTGATCAGCAAGTCCAAGAGGCTCAGTGGTTTAGACCACAGTGCCACCTGCATCCTACTGGATTAGGTCAAGGGCTATATGCTCCAGCACCTTGTTGTCCCAGTGGCTGACCAGATGCCTGTAGGAAGCCCAGAAGCAGGACCTGTTCTCCCTCCCTCCAGTTAGGACAAGGGAACACAGTGTTGTTGTGGCTTGAGTCCCAACAGAGAGAGAATTCAATTGGTCCATGATATAAAGAATTGCTGAGAGGTTCAGGAGAATATACTCTTTTGTCTCTTCTTTATTGTAATGGATCTGAATAATCAATATTCTCCAAGACTGCTGGAATTGATGAGCAGACATCTAGTCTTGGACTTTGCTTTCAAATGGTACATTGGAAACTGGTTGATAATTTTCAAAGCCATAGAATCTAAATTTGGCTTTTTAAAAAAAGAGGAAACGGGTCACTGTTGACTCCCTTCCAGTGATAAGGCGCTTCTCAAATCTTTCCCCACTTGTGTATGAAGTGACACATTTAGGGTGTGTTTTTGCCAGCTCTAAATATATGTGTGCTCCCTGCTTGGGAGCGTTTGCTTGTAGAGACCTAGGGATGGGGATTGAATTGTGAGTAATAGCAAGTACAATGCACATACGTCCAGATTAGGAACATCTTACAAGGCATCAACAAAAGACAAAATAAGGATAGTGATTTATTAGGGCCAAGTGCCAGAAATAGACACTATGCTTGGTAAATGGGGACAGTTAAAGATGGTTTTAAAGTAGCGGAAGGATTGTTAGAGAAAACTCACTTGGCTATGTTGCTTGTACAGCTTCTGATTTCTATCCTGCCTGAATAATTCTAGCCTTGGGGGCAGAGTTCGGCATCAAGTCCTCTTCTTTTGGGTAGACTGCAGAGTGCTTGCCCTTGGATCAACTTGGAGGCTGCTGACCTGCATCTGTCAAGAGACTCTTTGTCTAAAAATCAATGTCTGATTATGTTATTGTCAGAATCAGAGGTCTGCTCTCTTCACACATCATTTGGTATTATTTATTCATTTAAAAACAATTATATACAGCTTAATATTTCATGTATGTCTAAGACTTTCCAGTCCTTGATTAGTTTTAGTCCAGGGTTTGTTGCTTCTGTTGTTGGGGAGTTCAGATTAGTACAGTAGAGGGTTAACAATGCCTTTTGTTTTTAATCTACAAGGCTGGCTTAGTTTATTAGTGTTTTCTCAGGCTCCTTGTGCAACCTTCATATTGACTCACTGGTGTACCAGTCTCTGCCTGCCTGCCTGCCTGTATTGTATATTGCGGAGTCTGTAGCCAAACTAGTTTGTGTGTAGAACAGAATATCGGAGGTTCTGTTTAATCAACATAGAGATTTTGTAAATATATACAGGTGGTGAGCATTTCATGTGGGGGTTCCGTTCCGGGCCCCCGCGCACATTGGCAGAGTGTGCATAAACGTCCCCTGTTCTGTCCTTGCCCGCCCCTGTTCCACCTCATTCTACCCCTGTTCTGCCCTCTTGCGGGTCCAAAAGGACCTGCACATCAGTGATCAGGCATCAATTGGACATGCCTAAGATGGTTGCCGCCTGTATTAGCATAAAACAGGGATGGTTCAGCTGTGACCCTTCATATGTTTTTGGACTTCTAGCATGGCCAACAGCCAGGGCTTGTGGGAGCTGCCCTGCAGCAACATCTCAACAGCTACAGGTTAGCCGCCCCTGGCATAAAGCTTTACCAAGAAAAACACACACACCCTGCACTGATATCTAGACTCTAGCTGCATTTTCTTTCAAATGGGAGTCTCCCTCAGTCACACGCAGCATGGGAAACAAGAGTCCCTTTGCGTTGTATGGATGTCTGTGGAAGGAGCTGGAATCTCGATGCCTGCTGTTTGTTTTTCTTAATCTCTCCTACCTTAACCACCTTTCTCCCAATTAAGATCACCTGGTATTGGAGCTTGGCTGAGAAAAAACCCCATCCTGGAACTGATGGGAATTGAGTGGTTTGAACATGCAGGGGGTCTTTAGAACCCTCTTCACCATTGCTCCATTTTTCTTGTTGCATACCTGTTTATTGCTATGCAACAACAACAGCAAAACAAGTGGGTTGTTCATCCCATTTGATTAAAGTTATAATTAATGCCATATTTATGTTGGATCGTTTAATCAGTGCTACAGTATGTATATAATAATTTTGTTTTTGCTAAATTCTTTTGGGAACAGATGACCCTGAGAAATAACAAGGCCCATTAGAGACATATGTGCTTGATTTTAAAACAATGTATTAGATCAGCACTCATTATACATGACCATGCAGAATGTTCTTTTTGTTTTGACTAGTTTGAGGTGGGATACCTCAGTGAAAGAGCATATGTTTTGAGTGCAGCTCTTAAGTTTTAATCCTGCTGAACTCTGTTTATAAAGGATCTCCAAGTTTCAGAACTTGTAAATAACTCTCTTTGCTTGAATCACTGGATGAATACTGCAAGTTGGAAAAACCCCAAAACAATTCAGGACTAGATGGACTAATGATTGAATTCTGTATAAGGTAATACCCAACATTCTAAAATGTTTACAGTGAAATATTTTCTTACTAGGATCATGTCTGTCAGCTGTTCCACTTCTCTACCTACCAATCAAATTCAGATACACATGTAGCTTTCTATTTAAATCAACTTGGGACATACATGTATACTGATTTTTATACCATCTTAGCTTTACCTCCAAAGCATCCTGGGAAGTGTAGTTTGGTGAGAGTGTGAATAATTCTCTCTCAAGATTTCTCTAGCCATGTTTGCACAGTTACAATTCCTGTGGTTCCCCAGAAAGAGTTACTGCAGTAGTCCCTTGTTGTAGATATGTTTTGTGTGTCCTTCAGTAAATTACTTTCTTATTATTACAAAGCAGAAATGTATTTTAAGACAGATGTGTTAGTAATGGAACAGTGGCTTTCTCAGTTAGATAAAGTGTAAACTTGAGATGCATTCTCTTATTTCAAGGATTAGATAAGAAAGCAGTGGGACTAAGATATGATGTCTGAAATGATAAAACTATATGTAAGGAAGGTAAAAGGGACATGGGTGGCACTGTGGGTTAAACCACAGAGTCTAGGGCTTGCCGATCAGAAGGTCAGTGGTTCGAATCCCCGCAATGGGGTGAGCTCCCGTTGTTCGGTCCCTGCTCCTGTCAGCATAGCAGTTTGAAAGCACGCAGTGCAAGTAGATAAATAGGTACTGCTCCGGCGCGAAGGTAAATGGTGTTTCCGTGCGCTGCTCTGGTTCACCAGAAGCGGCTTAGTCATGCTGGCCACATGACCCGGAAGCTGTACGCCGGCTCCCTTGGCCAATAAAGCGAGATGAGCGCCGCAACCCCAGAGTCATCTGTGGCTGGACCTAATGGTCAGGGGTCCCTTTACCTTTAAGGAAGGTAAAGTAGATGGGCACTTCTCAATGCTTGACAAATGCTTACTGGTTTTTGTAAAAGAAAGCATACTGTTTTGCCTAGAATTGATTTTTGATGAAATCCAGCATTGCCTGTGGATGTGAAGAGATTTCCCCTTCCTCTCCCCCCCACCCCCTGCAACCCCCAACCTTTCAGAGTAGATTTGGTATGGGGTGGGTGGGAGGGAGGCTGGAGGGGGAGGAGAGAATATAGATGCCTTGCTTGTGCAAGCCAAAGTCCATTGCACAAGTGGGGTTCCACAACTGGGTATCCCTCTCCCCCACCCCCATGTAATAAACTGTTAAATTAAGAGAGAGAAATCCAGACAGTCATAGGCTTTTTAGGGATATTGATGTCAGTTGCTGGCTGATTTTCTTGAATGTTGATTAGAGACAAATGGACATACAGGCCCCACCCTGTTTTCAGGCCACTTCTGGGGAGGTAGAGATGACTGTGTGTGTGCTTGCGTGTCAATTGGACATGTATAAAATGGTCGCTGCCTGTACTATATTCGACTTAAGAGTCTGTTATTTAATTTTCCCTATAATGGTAGTGGTGGTGTGAGATTCTGTCAGGAGTAAAGCACCCAGAGAAGTTAACTCTTTATTAAAAGAAACCAAAACAGTGCAAGCCTAGTGATCAAGCAACTCTTCCCAGTAGGTCTTGCCCCAGTGAGGCAGTTGTGAGGTCCGAAGGTCCCCTCCTTCCCACTGTTCTCTAAGGCACCTCTCGTGGTTCCTTCCCTGGGAGCCTAAGACTCTGTCATCTTGTCTCTCTTTGCTCCATCCTTTTCATTTCTCACTGCATTCTGGGAGACCATGGGGGAAGGGGAGACTCCCTGGATCTTCAGCCTGCCTGATCTCTGCCTCTTGCCCCTCCCTTCTGCCTCTGATTCTGGGCTGCTCTCTGCCCCTGCTCTCTGCTCACTAAACCCTGTTGCCTTTTCAGCTTCCGACACCTCCTCCTCCTCCCAGTCTGCTCCCTCTTCTGCCTCTGACCACTCATCATTGTCCTACCACCAATCCCCTGGCTCTAAGCCGTCTTCCCCTGAGAGTTCCCATGGGGATTCCCCAGCTAGTGCCTCCCACCATCCTCTGCATCCTGCCAGTCCATGACGTCTTGTGACAGAGTTACCACCAATTTCTTCCTAGAGTTGCTTTTTGAGGACTTGGGAGTGTTTTATATAACAAGCTCAGTCAGCAGAGCATGAGACTCTCAATCTTAGAGTCTTAGAGTTGTAAGTTTGGGGGAAAAGATTCCTTCATGGCAGAGAGTTGGACTAGATGACCCTCGTGGTCCCTTCTAACGCTTATGATTGTATGACTAAAGTGGTTGCAGAATTAGTTTTCCAACAGAGGTGCAGTGTGTTGGGTTGGTTACACAGAGACTAGGGGATGCTTTCAAGTGTCATCACTTTTCAGATTTAAGAAAAAACTAGTTTTGGCTAATAATTTCTGGAAAGAAGATTCTTTCATTTCTGTTTTTAGTGGCGATCATATGATTTGTATATTAGCATTAGTGGTATATATTCATGTCTATATGTATGCAGAAGTGCCAGGTGCAACTCCTTAGGAAATGGAGGGTTTTTTTCTTTTCTTTTGGTAGAATAAACTAGAAAGCCAAAGTGCCTTTTATTCATGGAATTTAGAGTGTTGCAATTAACTTCTTAGTCTGGCAATTTCAATAGTTTCCCATTTAACACAAATTAAAATATTTTTATTCTTCTTACACCTTTTCCCCTGCGCCACAACATATAGTAGCAGTTCCTATTTGATTGAAATGGGATTCCCCCCGCCCCCCATTCTGTCCAGGAGCTGTGGAGCATCTGTAGGCCCTGGATTATGGGAGGGGTATAAACATAAATAACAAATCCAGTTTGAGATTACTTTACATATCATTTAAGAATGATTGTTTAAATATATATTTGTCCTTGATGTGGAGATACAATATAGCTTGTCAGCAAATGGATAGTAGCTATTTAAAGAGAAGAAGGTTATAGGATAAATTGTACTGGTTCAGGTGATTGGGAATACAAAGCAGGCTAATGAAAGCTTTCACTTCAGAATAGAACGAATCATATTTTGTATGAACTTGTGGATTGTTCTTTACTAAAGTTATTTAAAATATGCAAGGATCAAACAGCTTCAGATCATGGTTTAATAATGTAACCTTAGGGAGAAAAGGCATTTATGGGAGTGTGAGAGAGGTCTGGAAATTGATGCATGGTGCGGAAAAGGTAGAAATAATTTTCTTCTACTCTCAGAAGATGAGAACTTGGAGTTTTACAATTAAATTGATTTAGAAGTAGATTCGCAATCGGCAAAAAAGTACTTCACTCAACACATAATTAGCATGTGGAATTTGCTGTCATTGCCACTGATTACATGATACATTGCATGTAATTTGTTCCATATTATTTTATACTGACGCAGCAAAGAAACAAGAGGCAGAGAAAGAAATCTGTATGTATGCTGTAGAATATTGGGACAGTCAGTTCAGTGCATGCATGAACATTATCAGCTATTTTGTCCAAAGATTCTTGCAAATGTATTCTTCAATATTTGTCAATATGAATTATGATGCAAGGCTTTTTCTGTGAATTGTGATAGATGGGTTACTTGACTGTTGGGGACAGTGGGGCTTTGAACTCAGGTTTTGTCTTTTTCTTCAATTTGCATTTTATTATATTATTATTATTAGTTTGCATTTTATTTTAAGCCTTGAATTACAGTCAAGTGGCTCCCTTAGCTCTTTCTCAATCATTCCCTCCTTACATAGAAACACACTCACTAGCTAAGCTAAGGACAGCTGTAGCCCTGCTGGAAATGGGGAGCAGTCTGCTGGGCTACAGCCTTGGTAGGGTGGCGACTGCTCTTCCTGGCTTTTGTGCACACAAGAAGTTCCACTAGTGGTGCAGCTGTACAAACAAGAGGGAAGAAACCTGCTTTTCACCAATCTGCTACAAGAGTCTTCTCTTGAGCCACTTTATGCTTGACTTGTGGGTTTGCAAAGGCAGTGGGAAAGGCTTTGTTTGTTCCTATGTCCTAGGGCTGATTTGCTCAGTTGCAGCCAGTTTTTCCACTCTGGTTTTTGCACATCTGATGTGAGAGGGGATGTCAGCTGATGGGCAGCTGATCCATGGTGGGAATGGCTTGGTGGGCCAAGGTTGGGACCCAGGGTAAAAGTTTTTTACCTCTGTCTTAGAGACTCGGGAGTAAAGAATGTTTCTTAATCGTATACTTAATGGTGTACTGCAGTGCTATATGCATTTTGTATTTATTTTGGTAATTAAGCTTTGAAATATCATTTAAAAGAGCATTTAAAGAATAATAGACAATCAGTAATGGAAAGAGAGGAATAAATTTGTTATTGATAAAGAAATAGTAATGTTTTGATTTGTTGCGAAGTATTTAGTGGTTGTTGTGTTTATCTGCCTTCATTGCAATTTTTGTATGTAATAAACTCTGCTTACAAACATAATTTGGGACCTGTTGTGTTTACAAAATATGGCAATTTCCAAGCTGTGGTTTGTTTTGAGATTTATTTATTCTAAAAACTATAAAGGTACAATGCTTTAAATTTATTTTATCTCTAGAAGAATGATTACTCTAACTAAATCCTACACTGGTCAACCATGTATAAGAGTATGCTGGGAGCTCTCTGGTAGTAATTCAGCAGGCGAGAAAGATCTCTATCTCTTTGGTAGAATGTAATGGAAGTATAGTATTTGTTAAATGTGTGTTATTAACAACAAAGATTGTCTGTGGGATGCTGAGGTAGAGGAGAGTGAAAAGTGATTGGTTAGGTTTTGTTTTTTTTGATGTAGTAAGGCTTGTTTTGAAATAGGTGGGGAACCTCTGCCTTCATATTATTTATAATTTATAATTTCACTTTACTTTCTTATTGAAATTGTCCGCATTTGCATCCTCAGTATTTCACCTTTAAGAAAGTACCATTCATCTTGGACTCACTTCTCTTTGAGTATTTCTGCCTATGGGATCTCACCCATTAAGCTTTTTGAAATCAGCCTTCTTAAAGTCTAGAGTGGGTGTCTGATTATACTCAATTTTCCCTTGCCTGTGTATAATGAAAACCAAGAGGCCACGATCACTTCCTCCCAAGTTTCCCAGTACCTCCCTTTTGTCAATCAATTCCTGCCTGTTGGTGAGGGCCAGGTCCAACATAGACGAGCCCCTTGTTGCTTCTTCCACCTTCTGGAAAATGAAATTGTCAGTGAGGCAATTGAGGATTTTGTTGGGCCTTACAATCTTGGCAGAGTTTGAGTTCCAACAGATATCAGTGTAGTTTCCCATGACTACTATATTTCTCCCTGTTTGTTATCTTGTTTCAGACCAGTGTTATAGTACTATTTAAGTACTTTTAATAATATACAAATTGACTGAGTACCTCTGTTACTTTCTTGCTTTTCAGTTTGACAGGGCTTGCAATTGAAGGTCATATCAAGGCTCATTCCATTCGGGGCAGAGCAGCTTTGGCAGCTATCCTCAGATCTGTCAGTGTCCAAGAGATTAGCAGGCCAGCCATATGGTTGAGCAGGTTCACATTTACAAAGAGTTATTACTTAGTTACCATTCAGACAAAACCTTTACTTAGGTGCTGCAGAATTGCTTTACTTGAGAAGGGTGTCTGGATTCAAATTTTCATCCCTTCCATGTGTAATATATTTTTGTGTGCCTACAAGTTGTGGATACTTCTGGTGTTAGCTTCACTTGGAATTTTGAAAACATGATTGCTGCTGTCATGCATCTGAGTTGAGGAAGCAAGTTGAAAGAAGAAACGAACTTTACCCATTGAGAGGTTCCCAAATGGCAATGTGTTTTACAGTAATGAATTGCCTTATGCTGTAGATGCTTCTACTATATTGATAAAAAAGGACCTTTAAAAGCAAAACAGGAGAATTCCAGTTTAAATCTCTTCTTGCCTGTGAATGTAGCTTCACTTCTCTGTGTTATGGAAAATAGTAATATTGGACTTTGATTTTTTTTTGCTCACAAGTGTGCTGCTGTCTGTAATGAGTGACGAACCTTAAAACAGCAGATATGGGTAGATTGTTCCAGCAATTTCATTGTACTACCCCCCTTTCAAGTTTGGGAGAAAGACTGTGGAAAAGCCATGTTTCTGAGGCACCTGGTGCACACTGGCCTTGAAAGCAGCCAAACCAGCAAATTCCTCACACCAGGTCCTGGACACCACAATCTGACAAAACATTATGGACCATTGTTTGTAAAGAATGCTGAGATAATGTTGAGCACAGTTAAGAAAAAGGTATATAAATACTACATTCCTGAATGGTTGCTTGCTCCCAATGTCTTTGTAGTTAATCAATTGTGGTTAGTTCAAACAAAATTTATTACTAGTACAGGGAAGTGAGCAAAAATGAACATACACATGCATTGAACTTTCAAGGCTGGTCAGAAGAGCATTTTATAAACTCACTGAATGAGCACCACACAAGATTTTATTCTCGAGGTATATATGTAAAGAATACCATCCTACTCACCATTCTTCCAAGCCAGGGGTATCCAATGTGATGTCATCTAGGTATAGCTGAGCTCCAGCTCTCATCATTCCCAGCTACCATGACTAATGATCAGGGATAATGGGAGTTGTAGAACAATAAAATCTGGAAGGCACAATGTTGGTTGCTTCTGTTTCAGATTCAAAGCTGTCTGTATAAGGTTTCCAAATGGTGACCTATCTAGGTAGTTGTAGCCACTCCTAGACCGTGTCCCCATCTCCCAACCTGCAATATGATCCTGTGTTCAATATTGTTTTAAAAGCCAGCAACGCAACAAGGTGAATTAACCAGGTTGCACTTGCCATCTCTCTTACAAGTCATCGACCAGAATGATCAAAGTTATTTCAGTGCTGTAATTAAGCCTGAAGCCTGAATGAATTGAATCAGGATTATCTGCTTCCAAGCATGTTTGAAGTAGCCTGGCCACCACCCTCTCAAGCATATTGCCTGCAAAGAGGGTTTCAGTGATTGAGTGGTAGTTGTTCAGGACAATGTGGGCTTCTTGAAGTGGGCCTGTGCCACTGTATCCTTCAAGGCAGCTGGTAGTATACCATCTTGCAAGGAGCATTTACCACTAGACCCTAGACCCATCCAGTTAATCACTTGCAACTAGTTTTTAATAGCCAAGGTTGACAAGGGTCAAGGTGGCTGCCCAGAGCCCGTCAAGTGACTTGTTTGAGACCTGAGGCCTCAACTGAATCTAACTCCCAATAATTAGATCAGGCAGTACTCAGGACACACCGACACTGTTAAGTACTTAAGAGTCAGGAATAAGTGCATGCTGGCATTGAGTATATAGAAGTATAAACACTGTAAGTTTGAAAATAGTTTATCTTTTGTTAAATAACCTGCAGGGACATGCATGTTGTACAGTATGCTGTTTATAAAGTAATGTTTTATATGCATCCATCAGTATATAATTTGAAAAAGCAAATTCATATATGGACAAGATTACAAATCTCTACGGTACATTATGAATACCTAATGTACCGTAGTAGGAATTAATGGAGATTCCTATATACTGATATATTTCTATATATAATTAACCTACTATAAGGGTTGACCCTTTAAAAATAAAATTGTAGTCTGCTTCCCTTTATTAAATAAACTCAGAAAGCTGTTTGGTTCTTCAGTGAAAAATCAGAATTATTATAATTTGAATATAGTGCTGCACTTCTGAACAGGCTTAGCATGCTTTAAACTGTGCTATGTTAAGCTTCTAGTTGGAGAATAGTAGCTTACAAGCAAGTGAACATTTTAGACCCCCCAATCCCCTCCTGCTTTAAGAATTCAGTTCAAGATTCTAATGTGGATGAGTGTATAATGAAGACTGCATTTCCTTGGAGTAGCAATGGTTGTACAGTTTTAGTGCTTAAGATGACTCTAAAACAACATACAGTACTTAGTATTTAAATCCAAGTGTACAAAAGGACTTGCAATTTTTGTGTGTGTAGTATGAGCAAACTTCAAACAAGCACAGAAAAGTTTTAACATTTTCATGGATTTATAATTAAATTATTAGGAAACAACTGCCAAAGTTTACTGACTCTTTCCCTTTTTTCCTCTTCTTTCAGGTATGGCCTCACAAGTCTTGGTCTATCCACCATATGTTTATCAAACTCAGTCAAGTGCCTTTTGTAGTGTGAAGAAACTAAAAGTGGAGCCAAGTAGTTGCGTGTACCATGAACGAATCTACCCACGGATCTATGTGAATGATAATTTTTTTGGAATTGCTCAGCCTCCGAGCAGTGTTGGTACTTTCTTGCAGGCTAGAAACCTATTTGACAGACCTCAAAGAGAGACCTTTTTGTTGCAGACCAGTGCTGTTGCTTTAAAAAATATTGCAGGTGCTACAGAGATATTAGCAGTGCAGGCACAGCAACCTCAAGTGGAAGCACCTTGGACTGAGATACAGGAAAGTGGGTTAAACGTCTTGGACCGCCCCCAGCGATGTGGACTGAAGCGTAAGAGTGAAGAGTTGGAGAATCAGAGTGGCGCAATGCAGATTGTTGATGAACTGCCTATATTGCCTGCAATGTTGCAAACAAACTTGGGAAACCCAGTGACGGTTGTGACAGCTACTGCAACTTCAAAACCAAGTGGTACCAATGGAGATGGAGATTATCAGTTAGTGCATCACGAGGTGTTATGCTCTGTGAAAAATACTTACGAGGTTCTTGATTTCCTTGGGCGAGGGACTTTTGGACAAGTAGTAAAGTGCTGGAAAAGAGGGACAAATGAAATAGTGGCAATCAAAATTCTAAAGAATCATCCATCTTATGCACGCCAAGGACAAATAGAAGTGAGCATATTAGCAAGACTGAGTACTGAGAATGCTGATGAGTTTAACTTCGTGAGAGCGTATGAGTGCTTTCAGCATCGAAACCATACTTGCTTAGTTTTTGAGATGTTGGAACAGAATTTATATGACTTTCTGAAACAAAATAAATTTAGTCCTCTCCAGCTAAAAGTAATACGGCCTATTCTGCAACAGGTGGCCACTGCACTGAAAAAACTAAAAAGTCTTGGTTTAATACACGCTGACCTCAAACCAGAAAACATTATGTTGGTGGATCCTGCCCGGCAGCCGTACAGAGTTAAGGTAATAGACTTCGGATCTGCTAGCCATGTATCAAAGACTGTCTGCTCAACATATTTGCAGTCTCGGTACTACAGGTATGTAGCTTTCTGTATTTAATCGTTTTTCTGCCCTCTGATTGGTATTTTTGAAGCTTTGACTTTGCTCCAGTGTCTGCAGTTTACTAAATTGCATGCTAAGCATGTTGATTTGGATACGTCTTGAATTGAATTACATTTTTCATTGCTCTCTAGAATATTTACCCCATTAAACAGAGTGTAAATATTTTTGTTTTGGTTCTGCACAGAAGCCCTCATAAGCATAACTTCAGTTTAAGTGTCATGTGTAAAACTGGACTATCTGACTTTTAAAGTGGATTATGAGGTAATAGTCCAGAAGAGGTTATTTTTGAATTCTGCTTTGTAAAGCACAATTCAGAATATGTCCTTTGTGTGTGCAAGATAGCCTGGGAGAGAGAGAAAAGTTGATATAAACCTGATTTTATCATATACCTTATACTTTATAGCTAAATACCTTATAGCTAAATCTTTGGTTGAAGGGATATGAATTCAGCAAACGTACATGTTACCTCTTGAAATTTGAGAGTACTTTTTATTTTGTGTAGTAACTATTATGCAAATATTATGGGTGATATCCAGTGGTGCCTTGTATGCCTCCTTCCAGCAACTCCTGCAGCCAAACCGATGCCAAACGTTTTGCCCTACTTTGGACCACATCAGCGAGACCGCTGGGGTCTTGTCATCTGGGCAGCCCAGGACTGTCATACACATTGCCCAGGGAGGTCACTTTGGTGCTGCTAATGCAGCGGTTTGACTTAACCCACAGAGGTGCACTCCATTGTCTCTCGAGACAGATGGATGCCAACAAGTGTCAAATGTTAGTCACAACTCAGTGTAGACCAGGCATGGCCAAACTCGGCTCTCCAGATGTTTTGGGACTTCAACTCCCATCATCCCTAGCTAACAGGACCAGTGGTCAGGGATGATGGGAGTTGTAGTCCCAAAACATCTGGAGGGCTGAGTTTGCCTATGCCTGGAAATCAGTGGGCTAACCTTGGGTTTTTTAAAATACTGCAGGTTGGCCTTAATTACTATGGGTTGGATCCAGATTTTTTTGGAAGCAAAACTTTGTTTAACTGGTCACTTCCGTGGGTGGAAGGAGGGAGGAGGTGAGTTTTGCTGATTCCTCGATCACTGTACCTTCCCCAAACAGGAGGATTGTGGGGGCAGTGCCCGCTGGAACTGTTGTGGGAGCTAGTACTGGGGCCTGAAACAGAACAGGATCCTGAGCCATTCCACAAACTGCAGGTGCTCTTTTGTTCTCAGAAGGACGAGTCTGGATCTAATCTTAAAGGTATTAATGAATTTAAATTCCTGTGGAATAAAGTCTACATGCTGGCTAAAGCTGGCAGAGTTGCTAAAAATGGAGAGGTGTAGAAATATTTTTACAGATATTAGTGATTGACTAGTATTGATAGCAGGGACGCGGGTGGCGCTGTGGGTAAAACCTCAGCGCCTAGGACTTGCCGATCACATGGTCGGCAGTTCGAATCCCCGCGGCGGGGTGCGCTCCCGTCGTTCGGTCCCAGCGCCTGCCAACCTAGCAGTTCGAACACCTCCGGGTGCAAGTAGATAAATAGGGACCGCTTACCAGCGGGAAGGTAAACGGCGTTCCGTGTGCTGCGCTGGCTCGCCAGATGCAGCTTGTCACGCTGGCCACGTGACCCGGAAGTGTCTGCGGACAGCGCTGGCTCCCGGCCTCTAGAGTGAGATGAGCGCACAACCCTAGAGTCTGGCAAGACTGGCCCGTATGGGCAGGGGTACCTTTACCTTTATTATTGATAGCAACTGTTGAAATGGCTGACATAAGGAATGGTGGAAATGCGCCTGCTTCAGCTCCACTTCTGAAACAAAGCAGGTCTGCTTTAGAGTATTAGGATACCTATGTGTTTTACTTTGAGGTCCTCTTGAGAGGGGAAAATTGAAAAGAGACAGGAAGAATATGAATTTTTCATTTCACTTTTCATTACACAAGGTGGTTTACAAACAGAAGATACAACCAAATATACAACACACATTATAATATGAACCCTGGTTTAAAAGAAATAATGCATGAAGTGTTGAAGACACAGCTCTTTTAGATTCCTCATCAGCAGACCTGATGTACCTGGAGTTGACTATGGAGAGATTTTTTCAGTTGTAGCACAATCTTTATAGAATCATCCCCACTCTGCACTAAGGCAAATGGCAACACTGGCGTTTCAGTGATTGCTAAATCTCATTAACTTTTTCCCCATGGCTGTTAGTATCAAATGGTTGAATTCATCTGTTTTATTTCTGCTCTGGCCTGTTGACTGGTGTGTTATTTTCTATTGTAATTTTAACGTATTTATTCTATACTGCTTTTTCACGTCAAATGAAAGGCAGTGGATAGATATTTTAAATAAAAACAGTAACTGCTGTATAACAATATGGAATAAAGCATTTCAATTGCTCAGAAGTGCCATATGAAGGATGAATAGATTTCTCTGAAAGTGGAGTACTTGAAAACTGAGGAAGTTCATGAACTTGGATATCTATATAATGCTGACAGAAAATATTTTAGTTATCTCTCTTCAGTCTTGCTATCAGCTTCGTGAAGCAGGTACATATGAAATCTATAGCTAGCAAGGGGCCTAGTGGAGCTGTTCTGTTATTGACGTACATCTGATGAAGTGGTCTGCAATCCCTGAAAGCTTATGCCATAATAATGCTGTTGGTCTTTTAGATCCCACAAGTGCAACAGTCTGACAAGGGTACACCTCTGGAAATCTGAGTATTTTTTTGACCATATGTGTCTTACCTGGCAATACATGTTATCTGCAGGAGTTCTGTTTGGGTTTTTTTTAAACTTGAAACCATTGTAATTTAGTTTTCTGTTTTTTAAAGCTGTAAAAATTATTTCAAATTCCTGAGTACTAGAATGAGATGTTCAGGATCCAGCTTCAGATGTTTTGAGCCACTAGTGTTATCAGGAGAGAGCAACATATTTTGTTTCATACAAATATTTTAATACAAACTATTTATCTACAGTGGTACCTCGGGTTACAGACGCTTCAGGTTACAGAAACTTCAGGTTACAGACTCTGCTAACCCAGAAATAGTACCTTGGGTTAATAACTTTGCTTCAGGATGAGAACAGAAATTGTGTGGCGGTGGCGCGGCGCCAGCAGGAGTCCCCATTAGTTAAAGTGGTACTTCAGGTTAAGAACAGTTTCAGGTTAGGAACGAACCTCCAGAACGAACTAAGTTCTTAACTTGAGGTACCACTGTACTTGGTTGGTGACTAGGATTAGATTAAAGATGGCACAGCCAAGGTTAGTTGATAATTTTAAAAATAAATTGTTTTATGGTCAAAACTGTACTTGGAGGACTGATAAATGAATATCATTTCTGCCCTTTGTATTAAAGTTGAATCTTAAGACAGTTTCCCAAGGGGAGAAATTCAGTGTGGTTAGGCTAAGCATTCTGATAATATTTCATGAGAAAGCTCAGCAGACATTGTTAAAGCAGATAAGCAGGTGTTTTTACATTTCTAGCTACATTTTTAGTTCCGAAACAAAATATATTTCTACATGTGGTATGCTATATATAGTATTTGTGAGCAAAAGCTGCTGCCTTTCATATTTTTCCATCTTGTCACATGCTGACATGATTTAGCTATCTTTTTATAAGTGAACATTTCCCACAACCCTTGATTTAGCTGCTGTTCAAGGGATATTGTGAAATTATGCATATTCGTGTTGTATAAGTGGAAATACATAGTTCTGACCATATTCTACTCATTGATGAAAGAAGCAGCGCATGAGAACCAGAACAAGATTCCTCTGTAAACAACTTGAGCTGGAATGTGGCCTCAGATGTTATTCTATCACTTTGAACTGTGCATCACTGAAATGTTGTGGGGGATATCTTAAAATAGGCAGGGGGTGGTGGCCAGAAACTGTTGACTACTATAGATGGTGAGGCTGTTTCGCTGGTGCAGTGAAATAAGCCAGAAGTACATGCTGCTAAGTGCGTTCATTTGCTCAAGGTCAGCATGCTCTAAGTCAGCTGCTATGCTTTTAAGCCTAGTTACTGTTAGGGAAGAGGCAGGGGCTACTACATGAATTAAAGGCAGCTTTTTAAGATAAGGGGCTGGATTTCAGCAGACAGATTCAGCATACAGGAAATTTTGGGGTGGCGTTTGTGTGTGGTTGGTTTGGTTTTTTCTTTTTTAGTTGAAGCCCAAATTATGTGGATTGGTTCTACTGTTCAGCTGGCTGGTGTCGATGTAAACAAACTGTGAATTGTAATTACCAAGCATGCTGCTGCTTGGCAGTTACTTTACTGTTTAGCATTTGTGCTTTCTCAAGCGGACAATTTGAGCTGACACCTTTTTAATTTTCCACTTTAGAACTATAAACCTCCTAGGGCGTCCCCATACTTTTTCACTTGTGGTGGTATGTTTGTCCTGCCTCATGTTAGAGTAGGTTTTGATCCTTTCAGACTACTCAGGTGGGTATCTACCAAATATTACATCCTTTTTAAAAGTTGATTTGCTGATACATTCATGTCCTTTTTCTGCATTGAGTCACTCTGTCTGGAGTTATCGCCTGCTGACCCTAGCAATCTTTCAAGTGGAATTCAGATATGGTTACATCAAGCAGCATTAGCATCTGGTATTCTTTTCTCTCTGTGTGTAGCTGTTAACTTTACTTCACTGGAGAGCTCAACTATTTCTTGCTGGTTATGCAAAAAACAAAATCTGTTCTAGGGAGGCTGTTGGGTTCCACAGTGCCACAAGCTGACTAGATTGTGTGTGATATATGTGTGTGGGGTGTGTATGTGTTAGTAAGGCATTCCCTGGAAAAGAACAGTCAATAAGACTTGACGCTGGTTTCTTAGCATAAGGACAATATTTTCTCTTGAGTAATCTTGCTATGCACAAGCCAAACCCTATGCTATGTACTTCAAATACTGTTCATTTCAGCTGCTTGTATGATTAGCGAGGCGTGTTGTCTTGGTTTCCTCAAGTCATTTCTCTTCTTGAGTCTAATACTGTGCTTGACAAGAATAATCTCTTCCATAGTGATTCAGTAGTGAATATCCAGGGATTTACCCTCTCCTTAGTCATGAGTAACTGGGAACTCAAGAAGATATCTCAACTTCTAGAAATTTGTGTGGATAGGGAGAAGTCATTTTTTCCCTTCCCTCTGGCCCATCGTAGGCTGTCCTGCCCTTTCAACCAACCACTACCCCAATTATGGTGACTTTTATTTACTTATTGCTAAAACTGATTACTAGTCCATTGGCTATCCATTTGTCATTTTATTGACAAGTCAAAATGTAATGCGTCACTGGAGCTGAATTGAAAGGACTGAAATGTAAAACTCTTGAATTTTAAGTCTGAAATGTGTAACATTGCTAAAACCAGTCTCCTCTTTTGACAGTTTGATGATAACTGTTCCTGCTTGAAAAACAAGATTTTGCAGGATCCACAAACTTAGATCTGCCAGCCAACATATATTTTAATGTCAACAAACACAGAGACACTAGGCAAGAATGGTCTGGTAGATTGTAAATCTTTCAAAGAACAAAAGGCTCTTGAGTAAAATTAAGCCTGGAGTAAGGATGTGGATTCTGTCACGTGTTGGGAACTCATCATCACTTTCTTATTACTAAAATAAATATCATATACTGTAGATGCTACTTAAACTTTGATGGTGCAGTCTTATACAGTTTCTTCAGAATTAAGCCCCTCAGTGGTCAATAGGACTTAAACTCAGATAAGTTTGTATAGTATTGTAGCCTTAGTAAGATAATATTTAGCAAACCAGCATTAGCAGTTTTGAATGTGGTTGTAAAATTCAGTCATTCCAAATTTTTTAAAATGATGTGTATTAATGTTAAAACTAATCACTGAATGCATTTGAAGGCAGTATGGACTTAAACCCTGGTTTAGTGTCACAAAAATGAGCCTAGCCTCCCACCTGTACTTGTGCTCCCTTTTTTCCCACTTCTTCCTCCAGCATGACACAGAGGAGGAATTTAGAAACATTTGCTTTTAGCTGGCCATTACTTCCCACGTTGTCCAAACCCAAAATTGTGAATTAACAAACCAACTTTAAACCATGGATAAGGAACCTCACTTCTTAATACTGACCTTAATTAGTGTTAAGACACAATTCACTGCTGCAAGGTATGATGGTCACCACTTTATTTGGCTTTAAAAGAGTATTACAGTGGTGCCTCGCAAGACGAAATTAATCCGTTCCGCGAGTATCTTCGTCTAGCGGTTTTTTTGTCTTGCGAAGCAACCCTATTAGCGGCTTAGCGGATTAGCGCTATTAGCGGTTTAGCGGCTATTAAAGGCTTAGCGGCTTAGCTGCTAAAAGGCTATTAAAGGCTTAGCAGCTTAGAAAAAGGGGGGGGGAGCGAAAAAAAATCTCAAGACTCGCAAGACATTTTCGTCTTGCGAAGCAAGCCCATAGGGAAATTCGTCCTGCGAAGCGCGTTGAAAAACAGAAAACCCTTTCGTCTAGCGGGTTTTCCGTCTTGCGAGGCATTCGTCTTGCGGGGCACCACTGTAGGTAGATTTTAGTGGAGGCTAGACCTCCATGATAGCTCAGCAAAGGCTCTCATAAACTATTTCAATGTAGAGCCCAATACTGTACCTTTCAGGTATACATGTTCCCATGAAGGAGGGCTTGTGTGTAGCTTGAAACATGTTGGTTTTTTGGTTTTTAATTTAGTTGTGTGGAGATTTCCACTGACTGGTTTTTGTGCCACTTTTGTTTTGGGAACTCATAGTAGAGCATCCGTGTTGCATGCAGAAGTCCAAGATTCAACCCCTATCATATCCAGGTAGGGCTGGGAATGTACCCAATCTGGAATTCCGGAGAGTTGCTACCAGTCTGCGTTGACAGTTCTGAGCCAAATGGACCAATGATCTGCATAAGGCAAATTCCATTGTTCCCATGTCTTCTTGGTCCATGTTGGAAATGGGACACTGGATAGGTGGGCTGGTTCATCAAGGCTGTTTTTAATGGCTAACAATACAAGTGAGGAATTGCTAATTTACAAGGGCCTTGGTGGGAGGAGCTGCTTTTAAAAGTTCCATTTTAATGCTCATTTTTAGGTGGGAAACCTTCACTTTGAGAGAATGACATGCTTAGGAAGACAGTAGTATTTAAGCATGATTGCATACTGTCAAGTGTTTCAGCAAGTCAAATTATATGTGTGTAAGTTTTTTGGGTCAAAATCTGTCTGTCAAAAATGTTTGTTGGCAAAGAGAAGATTGTTTGCCTTACCATGGTTTTGATATTGACACTGGGGCATGCGTACAGCCCACTCTGTTGGTACACTCTTACCAGGGTCCCTGGTGTATTGGGTTGATTACATCTGGCCCTAATGCAACTTTCTGACATTCAGGGACATGTAGTCTGTAGGGACCTCCTGCCTCTGTATAACCATGTTGGATTGCAGGAACTAATTTGTTCTGATGTAAGATTGCAAGCACCAATTTGCCTACATTTGGTTTTTAAATTACTGAATAGGTTGGTCCAGGAGGCCAGAAATACAGCGGCCATTACATTATACAACATGCCCAGGGCTGGCCTCTATGAAATTTTACCTCTTGTCGTATAGCTGAAAGGCTTCCAACTTTTGGGAAAAGACAGTAACAGACTAAAATAATTTGCTTGCATCACTCTGTTATCTCAGATTTGTTGTTACTCTGTGTTATAATTCTATTAAACAGCCGACCAATATTTGGCCAGGCAGTGTGATCTCTTTTAGAAGTAGAAAGAAAGAAAGAAAGAAAGAAAGAAAGAAAGAAAGAAAGAAAGAGGTGTAGATTTTTAAATAAATCTGGACATATGTTTTTGCATGTTGCGTGCCTCTATCTTGTTCAGTACTGAATCTGACACTGTTGTAATAATATTATGATGTTTCCTTCTATAGGTAAGGAAGCAGAATAGTTTGTAAAAATATAGCCTACTGGCAGGCAGGTGAATAATTCTTTGTTTTAGTAGGCTTGTATTTTTGACTGAAGTTTTCAAAGCAGCTCACAATATTATAAAAATTCAATGGATGCCAAAAGTTTTGTAACAAAATTTAGGCAACTCAACTGGAGAAGGAGCAAGCTCCTGAAGTTTTTTTCTGTCTGCCTGCCTCCCCCTCTTCCTCCTGGAATCCTTCCCACATGGCAGATGGCGTTGTGGCAGGTGAGGGGACAGGCCAGTTGTTTGACTTTTGTATGCTTGACTGTCACAAGAAGACATTCTAAGGTGATGTCATAGGTCCATAAGCTTTCCATTGTGTGTCTGTATGTGTTTGATGGGTAGGGGATAGATAGGATTCAGTTTGGTTCCTTTGTTAGTGAGTTTAATGATATCCTCAAAGAGAAAATAATTAGACACATTCATAACTAACAGTTGTAATTGGGAGCTAATGTGTTGTACTGAAAAGACAAATGATGTATTCGGATCTTTTTAGGAATGCTACACAGCTAGAGAAAATCAATTTAGAGAATTAAACGGAGACTAGCTGGCAACAATTAAGACTCTCAAATGCATTTTAGACACAGAATTGCTATTGTAATTCCATTATAGGTGAAGGGTAAGCATTGGCAGCTGAAGCATGGGGAAGCTGAAACAGGTGGTAAAGAAAGTTCAAATCACATGGCCAAATTCATGCTTCTTCTTTTTTTGCTAAATTTGAAAAAATGTGTTGCCAGGTAATTTGTATTTATAGCCTTACATTACTTATGTAAATTAATTACAATTTTGTAGCTTGCAGAATACTTGCAGAATTTGAGGGTTTGGGAGAAAGCGTAGCTTCACTGTAGGGGTGAGAAATATGCGTCAATGCAGAGTATGGGAAGAGGATACGTGGAAGAAACAGAATAGCTAGAAAGGACAAAGAATCCCTGTCTTTAGAGAACTCTGGAGATTTATTTATTTATTGTTTTGGCTTTGCAGACACTATATGTCAACATCCAACATGGCAGCCATGAGAGTTAGGAGCTTGGCATGTAGTACATAATCCACTTAATTTAGAGTTTTTCATTTGAGCATAGGGGACTGCTTCACAGTAAATAGCTTGTATATTTCAGCTTAATGTCTTCAGTGACTGCTTGACAGTCTAAGGAATACACATTTGTATTAGAAGCGGGGTGTTGTCTTGTGCTTGTTTGGGAGCAAAAGCTCTTACTTAGCAGGCAAAAGTGGCTGCTGGCCAAGTAATGAAGCCAGATGTCTGTGGGAAGACCTGTGTGGCAGAAGAACCTGCCCCAGAAATTTCTGTTTTGCTGTCATATTTGATGCAAGGTGGGGTTTGCTCTTTCGTCACTGCCAAAATTGCCAGGACCTGAGCAGGCTTCACACATTGGATGAAAGTGGAAGATGTACATGTGGAAGCCTTCCTGTTCTGAGACTGTAAACCACTTTACAACTGTCAGCTTTCAAGATGTAAGGCTGACTTTATTTGAATATTGTTGTTTGCATCAACATTAGACATTCCAGGTATGCTCAGAAGCATACAGAGAATTGGGAACTTAGGAAGAGTGTTCAGCTTTAGCCAGTGCTTGCGTTCTCTTCCTGCCCAGCTTGGTTAGTGTGGGAACTGGGATATGTTTTATTTTATTATCTGTTTATTGCCTCTATAGCTCAGCTTCCCTCCAAGGAGCTCAAGGTGGCATACACTGTTCTCTTACCCATTTTGTCTTCACAACAACCCTGCAAGGTAAGCTAGACTGAGAGACAGTGATTGGCCAAAGATCACCAAGTGACCTTTATGGCTTTGTGACGTTTTTAATCCTGGCCTGGCAGGTCACAGTCTAGCACCCTTAACCACTACACCAGGAGTCAGCAAACTTTTTCAGCAGGGGGCCGGTCCACTGTCCCTCAGACTTTGTGGGGGCCGGACTATATTTTCAGGGGAAAATGAATGAATTCCTATGCCCCACAAATAACCCAGAGATGCATTTTAGATAAAAGGACACATTCTACTCATGTAAAAACATGCTGATTCCCGGACTGTCCGTGGGCCGGATTTAGAAGGCGATTGGGCCGGATCTGGCCCCCGGGCCTTAGTTTACCTACCCATGCACTACACCATTAGCAGACAAGAAGATGGATGACGGTGGGGAAACGACCCGTGGCTGGATGTTCTTTCAAGCTCTCAAAAGAAGTGTTCGGCTTTCCCAAATGCAGCACAGCTCATTTCAAATTGAGATGGGCTGATTTCACAGCACTCCTCTCTACATTAAACCAGTGGGATGTAAAGTGCCATTGATTTTGTTGAGGCTCAAGCATGCTTAATGTTTGCTGGTTTGTGCCTTTGAACCCTGTTGCTCTGTATTATGCCTTTTAAAACTGTTGATGAACAGTTGGATTTCATTTAATTAGCCAGACAGTCATGTGTCTCTTGAATATTCGTTGGACCAGGTTTTAAACTGCATTTGCAGAGCAATTTCATGATAAGCTTTTCTAATAGACATGCATACTGAATAGCGAAAACAGCTTGATAGGGTTGTTCTCGAAATGATGACTTGACAGTATCTCATAGCAGTGGAATCCGGCTATCAATTGTGTGCTAATCCAGCTAAGTGGAGAGTCTTTCCTAGGAAAATTCAGTAGTCATGTGAGCAAAATCATTGGTTGTAAAAATTGCTACCAGAAATGCAAACATCATTTTAATGTATCTAGATGCAAATATTATATGCATTTTTGGGTAATGAACAAACCGTATTTCTGGATTGGTTTATTTATTTACCAAAATTTATATACTTCTTGATTGTAAAGAAACAAACAGCCTCCCCACCCAAGTTTACAAAAATATAAAGCATTAAAATTATGAAAATCATCTTTAAATGTATTCAGTTATTCTTTTATAGATCAAATTGACCATTGATTAATAAATTGCATTAGTGTGATTTTGTAAAAAATGGGATGCTTATTAGAGCATCCAATAAATTGAACTAATTTGTCTTCATAAAACAATGGGTCAGATATTGTAACCGTGGGGGATCTTCCACTAGGACTCCTGGCCCACAGTTGAAGGTGTGAAACAATTTTTAAAATCCTCCTCTTCCCCAAATCTCAAAGCCACACACTCTGTCTATCCAGCAGACACTCTTATCAGGTTAGGGAGGACTGCTTGAAACCCCTTAAGAATGGTCCTGTACCATGTGGTAGCCTATTAGAATCATACATCTGTTCTGAGCATGCTCAGAGCTGTTTCCATGAAGGGCATATTTCATAGCTTTTAGCCTGTTCTGGTAACTAGAGAAGCAACAGGGAGCGTAACTTACTTCGCTTTTGTTTCGTTTAGTATTTGTTTTGTGACTTTGTTATAGAGAGAGAGAGAGAGAGAGAGAGAGCAGGTAAGCAATTTACAGTTGACACAGTGTGAGTCTCTTTCTATAATTAATATATGTTTGCTTAATCATGCTGAATATAATTTTTTGAATTGGATTGGGAGGAACAATGGTGAATGGCTTGTGTATGCAACAAATGCCATATTAGCCATTTTCCTGCATTCACTTATTGAAAGTGGCTGTAGCTGCTGGGCAGTGCAGGTTGAGCCCCGTGCAGTTGTATTTCCAGAAAAGGTGTGTGCATGTGCTCCCAACAAGCCCCTTCCCTAGCTTAAATTCAGGTTATCTTGAAGGCAGAATGGAGTAAAAAGCTGTTGGTAGTATTTCTTGCTACCTTTTTTTTTGAGTGTCAGTGAATATTTGAAATGAAAAATATGAGCTGTATGCCTGTCTCAGTATCACACTGACTCCAAATCCTTTTCCTTTCTTTCTTTTAAATATATTTTTTATTGTTTTTCCAATATCGTTCCAATGACAGCCTCACTATAACAATACCAATTTTATCCAATTAATACCATTATCAATGTCAATTATTCAAATGTCAAATTATACAATATAATTAAACTGAACCCCTCACATGCTAGAGTTGATGAGTTCATTCTTCTACATTTTTTCTGCATTCCAAAATTTTAATAATTTCCATTCCATTCCATTCAGATATAATAATCCCTTATATAACAGCTACAATTGTGATTTCAATTCATGTTGGTATAATAGGTAATTTATAAAGTTTCAAGTGAGGAACTATGGCTGTAATTCTTATTCTTTTCTACCTCCTTTTTCACTGGAAGATGCTGTCCTTAATCTCAGACATAAGAGGCTGATTGTGAGTAGTCTAGTGTAAGCTACTCTGCACATGAGCAGAGATTATTACTTCACATTTTCAGGACTAAGCCATACATTGCAAATAGGTTCTGGTGTGCTCTAGCTCAAATGAAACAATCATTTTTTGTCTATTGGTTGGAAAACTTTGTTCCTCTAACTTAGTGTTTTGGATAATAAAAGTCAAAATGATTTTTGTGGGGAGGAAAACTGCATGCTCCTTACACTTGAAATGTTTTTCTGTTTGATTAGTTTTTTGGCAGTGGATGTGTAGGTGTAATCAGTACAGGAATTGAAAAACATGTCATGTGGTATGCTTACCGTACTTGCTAAATAAGAGACATGGAATCAATCTTGTCTGAATGAGAAACATACTAGAGGCCTCTTACATGTAAGGTCTTCCCCACTCTATAGATGTGCAGAGAAAAGCTTTTTGTTTATTTACTGAGGAGACAGTGGCATTCTGCACACATGTATTAATCCTTTAACAAAAGTTTGGTTCTTGCAGGCCTATGGGTAATCCAAGATGTTACTTTGTGGTGAAATCACGGACTGAGTGCACCTGTGTTATCTGGTATGAACTGGGCTCCAAAGCCACTATGGCAGCCCAGGTAATTGAAGGAAATGCCTTCGTGGTGAGAGAGCACATTTCTCTCTCAGTTCTGGAAATTTACTGACAGCCCAGTATCTGATTGGCTAACTTGGCCAACATTTTTTCTTGCTTGAGCACATGTCTGTGCTGTTTTATTCCTGTGGTATGGTGTCACTGCCTTGCCACTTGACTAGAATAGCTAGATATATTTTTCATTCTAACTTGCATTCTCCCCCTTCCTATTTTCCAACAGTATTCTTTTATTTGTACTTTTTCTAAGGTTTTTTTTTTGCATTATTTTTTAACCACCTCACATAAATTTGATGTGCTTTATTCTGGAAAAGCTGGGTCCTTAATTCCAGTGTTTTGGACTTCTTTAATTGCTACTGCATAGCATATAAAGGAGGGTGCTGTGAGCTGCCAGGACCTAGGCATCCACATGAAAGTTGGTAGGATGACTGGTGTGAATGTTAGCTCACTCTGAGCAGTTTCTGCTTCTGAGCAATCTCTGCATTAAGTTAGATTCTTCCATAGTGGTTAATATATCAGCAGTGATTGACCGAAGAGTCTCATTTGTCTCTGGAAATGGGATATGTTTATGTAAGTAGCAGCTGCAGTGATGTTGAAGGGCCCTACAGCTAATTTGCCCACCCACCTGTGGTTCTGCCCTTTAAATATATACCATTCAATGTAGCTGTTAATTTGTGACACCTGTGAGCAAAACAAATGACTGAAACGAGAGATGTGTTTTGATTTACATCATGATTAACAAATTATCATGTTTTTATGGCATAGATTCCTTTAATGATAGCATTTCATTGTGTTAAATGGATGGGAGCAGAGCGCAGTGGACCCTCCAGATACGAACTTAATTCATCCTGGGGGTCCGTACTTACCCCGAAAAGTCCGTATCCAGAGGCGCTGCTTTTGTGCACGCGCACTGCACGATAGAGCGCTTCTGAGCATGCGTGCACGGCGAAACCCGGAAGTATACACTTCTGGGTTTGCCGCATTCGCAACCCAAAATTACGTTACCCGAAGGTGACGTAACCCAAGGTACCACTGTATATTCTAGTACATACTAGTGGACGTTTGCATTCTGCATTAAATCTGCTGTGAAAATGAATTATTAGCTTGGTGGCAAGGTACGGAGGATGCCTTAACGTAACTTACTCGCTGGCAGTAGAAGCAAACATGGACCCACAGATGTTGGCTTACCTTAATAGCCAACCAACAGTTTGTGTTGCCAGAACCCACTGCAGAGGGCAGGGTTGTGTCCCTGAGCTTGTGCTGCACTTCTCTCTTCTCTAAACTCATCTGCTTTTAGATGGCTTATCTGAGGCACTAACAGTACCTTAAAGGTACAGTGAAACACAGAAGGGCCACAAACCGCCTCCCAAACAGGGAGCTGGAGCTGGTGGTGAGTGATCATTCCTCCAGTTGTGCTGTATATTTTAAGCTGCTGTAAGAGCTTCAGCAACGCAGTGTGGCAAACCTAAGATCCAGCTCTCCTCATTGAGTAGGTGATGTTGGAATGATTTCTGCACTTGCAATGCAAGCATGTTGGTTTTGCCTCAGAAGCACAGAGCTGGGAAATGAACAGGGTATCATCCTCATGGTTGTATTGAGAGGTTCCAAGTGCCATGCAGGGCAACATTCAGAGGACAAGTTTCAGCCCTCCTGTTGAGCTTGTGGCAAGGGAGGGAGGGAAGATCACCATTCCATTGTGTTGTGCTTCAAAAGCTCTTTGAGTATCTCTCTGATCAAAAACAGAATAGCGATTTACCCATCCCGAGTATACTTCTTGCACCCCAAACACAAAAACAAACCAGTATTTGGGGGGATGGACGGGAATGCACACAGCTGTTTCATTTATCCCTTTTTTTTTTTTGAAAAAAATAAAAATAGTGTGCTTAATGAGCATCTTTTAACTTTTGTTTGGTTTTGCATAAGAAAAAATTAAATTTGTGCCAAAGGTTTGTTTAGGCTCCACCCAGCATAATTCAGTTTTTAGGCTTAGTTTTGTTCAGTCATAACGACTAAACTTTGTTTCACCAGTTGTCTCTTAAGAGACATACAATGTACACAATTAAAATATCATGTAATTGGTACAATTAAAATATCATGTAATTGGTACAATTAAAATATTGTACATAAGAGGTGCTATAGATATTTATACCTTAATATAGATCTGATGAGTAGATTAAGCCATCATGCATTTTGAACATTCAGGGCCAAATTATTGTAACAATATTGTGAGTGTCAAAACATTTATAAATCATGTTACACATATTCCAAAGCAAATTGTTGTTGTATTAGCTCTGTAATGTGGCAAAGTTGTCTTACAAATATTAGTATCTCAGTTGCAGCTAGGCATGGTGTTCTGCTTTCTTTATTTACTAAAAGCAAAACGTTGGAAAGGATTTGCCCAGAATTCGTTATTAATTTGAAATCTGATTTACTATCTGGTTGGTCAGTCTTTTAAGTTTCTCCTGAGTTACTGAGTATAAAAACCTGTAACAGCTTCTGCAATCATGACATGAGATACTTCTAATGTGGTCCTCAGAACTAAAACACCCCCCTTTCTAAAGTAGTGCCTTGCTGAAGTGTCTGCTAAAAATAGTCATTCCATCACTTCAGAAATATTTGAGCTATTTAAATTCAACATGTAAAAATACCACAATAAAGAGATTTTGCTGCTACCATTTTTGGCTTTTGATGGGAATCTTCTTCAGCATGATTGTCATGCCATTTTAGGAAATGAAACAGGTTTTAAATATATAGAGTCTGTAGTGCATTATACTTTTCTGGAAGGCATGTGACTTTGAAGTTCTCTGAATTAACAGCTGTCTTTGGTAGTCTTCCTGACTTTAAGCTGCTTGAAGGATCATTTTTATTTTTATGGCACCCAACTGAAATGTCAGCCAGACCACATTGAAAATGCAGTTTTTACTTATTCCATTATTAGCAATAAGTTCTTGGCTACATATTAATGAGAATTCACTTGTTTCTTTGAACTTTTTCCCCTTCTGTTTGTATTATCCAACAAAGGGTTGACATTCAGAATTTGTAGATTCATGGAAACAATGCTGCACTTTTTATAGCTTTCATTAATTTCACTTTTCTGATCACATCAGGCAGTTTTCCTTCCTATACTAATTTTTCAGTTGGATTTATAGTCTACAATTTTAAAGTCTTGAATTGATTTACCGAAAAATATAATCAGATGGGCAATGGATGAATATTCTGTGTTACAAAATATGCACATGTTTGGATCTAAATATTTCATGGCACATGTGGAATCTCCCCTGCTCCAACCCATGTGGGTGTTATGGAGTCAGTTATTAGGGAGGAAATTCCCTGGGCTCAACCATTATTACCATATTGGCTTGCAGATAAGCCACACTTTTTTCCCCAAATTCTGACTGTGAAAAGTTAAATTCTCAACCTTACAAAAATTGGCTTTTACAATATCGCTGCTGAAACAGACATATGGTAAAACGGAATGGGTGTGAGTGCCTGCGGAATTTTAAAGGAGTGACTTATATTTGGGTATTGTCTTTTCTTCTTTTTCCGCCTTGAATTTTAAAGGTGCGAGTTGTTTACAGGCGTGGCTTAAATTTGGGCCAATACGGTATATGAGGAAAAATTAAATTCACAGTCTTTCTGGGCTTTGTATGTAGCCATTATGGATGTTCAGAATGAATTGGTTCCCCTGTAACACACTGACCTGGTGTGCACACAATGAATCATTAGGAAAGGGCTTGAAAATAATATTGTTAATACCATAATGTCATCCTATAAATCTGTGATATGGAACTGCACTTGAATACTGTGTATGGTTCTGGTTGCCGCGTCTCAAAAATGGTTTTCAGAGAGCTCAGAAAGGTTCAGAAAAGGGCAGTGAAAATAATGAAGAGCCTTGAGGATCTCACCAAGAGGTTTGGATAGGTGGATAGGTCTCTACCATAATACTAAAACCTGGGGGCATCCAATGAAGATGACTGTTAGGAGATTCAGAACAGAAAATAGAAAGTGCTTCTTCACGCAGCACATATTTAAACTCTGAAATTCATTAACACAGGATGTAAGAGGGAACTAGACATATCGATGGCTGTGTAGAGGTGATCTGCCTCTGAATACTAGTTGTTGGGCATACCATGTATGGAGAAGGCTATAGCACTCAGGCCCTGCTTGCAGGTTTCTCATAGGCATCTTGTTGCCCACCAGGATACAGATGACTCCCCATTTACGTGGGGGTTACGTTTGGAACCCCCCTGTGAAATAGCATAGAATGGGGAGTCACCTGTATCGGCTCAGCTGGGCAAACCACACTGTCCCTCCAGCTCGCAAAATGCGTAAACGAAGAGTTGCCTGTCTTGGATTAGATGAGCTTTGTCTGATCCAGCACAGCTGTTCTTATGTAAGCCATGGTTTATTTAGCAAGTGTGGTTTCTTTCTGTCCTAGTTCATCAGCCTAACCATGGGACACACACATTTTATAATCAAGCTTCTGCCCAATAAAGAAAAAGTGCTACACTTCACAGTCAACAAAACATCTGGATTTGTGCAAATGTTAGGAACAAAGGCTAAATAATAAATTTAATTGATGTATAAATAATAAATTCAGTAATTGTTTACTAAACTTTAAGGCTAGCACACACTTGAAGAGCATGTCTCCACAGATACTGCTATGTGCAAAGTAAAGCACAATGCAAGTTCTCACACACATTCAGGTGAAAAATAAAGCACTGTGTGAATTTACTACAGAATAAGTGTCAACTTTTTTGTGTTTGCAGTAAAAATAGCCTAGACACTGAAAGCCGCAACTGGTAAAGTATGATGAAGCAGAATAACATATAATTTGTAGACTCCATGGCACATAACTAGTATGGTCTGCATGGGAAGATGGGGGATTTAATAAGAACAGTTTACCTTACAGAAAAACAAAGTTATTTGACTTTTACAATTATTTAAATAATGTTTTCTAAATTCCAGTTATTATTCAGGTCATTGTTTTTATGTAGAATATCCATTAACCACCCCTGTTTTATTTGCAGAGCACCAGAAATCATATTGGGTTTGCCGTTTTGTGAAGCCATAGACATGTGGTCACTGGGCTGTGTGATTGCTGAGCTATTCCTTGGATGGCCACTGTATCCGGGAGCCCTCGAATATGACCAGGTAGTAGAAACTTGATGATCTGAGATACTTTTATCTGTTTAAGTCTGCAGTTTACTCAGTTGGAGTTCAGAGTTCATTGATTTTGTCATATGATTTTGAACAGACGAAATAATTGTGCACCAATATTTAAAAACACCAAGAAAATAGTTTTAAAAACTCCCTTTGAGTCAAGATCTTGAAGCTTAAGCAGGATAATGCTGGTGCGGGCATTCAAAATGATAACTGTATACACTACGATTGCACCTTGTGCGCGATTTCAACCTTGTGTGGTTGAAAGCTGGTTGGTTGAAATACCGCAAATTAATTGCAAAGAGCTTAAAAGCTTCTTTTTCACTCGATTTTCCCAGTGTGGAAAGAGCTTTTAAGTTCTCAGAATTTCTTACTGGGTTCTGGGATGTTCTTGCAAGAACTCAAATGGCCCTGTGAGATCTTGCAAGAGTCCACACAAGAGCATCCCAGAGCCTACTAAGCAGGCAGAGAGTGTAAAAGCTTACTTGGAAGGTAAGGGTGGTCCCAAGGGTATAAACTCTTTTGCATGTACGCACCATCCCTGGAAGTAACCACCACTCAAGACGCAATCGTACAGCAATGTGTTTGTAAAACTCGCACTTCTTTGAACTTTTCAGATTCGTTACATTTCACAGACACAAGGCTCACCTCCAGAGCAGTTGTTGAACGTTGGAACGAAGACCACACGGTTTTTCTGTAAAGAAACAGATGCACCATATTCTAGTTGGAGATTAAAGGTACTAAGAATTCTTGAAAGCACAGACAGGAGTTCCTGCCGTCCATGTTTTTGGCTATACATGTGCCTTCAAGGAGGAATACAGCTGAAGCAGAACAGGGGGTATATTTTGTGAACACATGGTTGGTCTGTATTGGTGGCTGATTGGAAGAAGCAGTCTTGTGGGAGGGGCCTAGGAAGCACATCCTTCTGTGTTGGCACACTGCCTTCCTGCCAGTTGTGCTTCAGGCAAAGATAGAACTCGATTGGCTCTCTTCACAACTGCAGCTTTAGGATCCTTATTTCATCAGCCTTCCTCACTTGTCCTCTGATGTCATCACATAGCAAAAACTGATTGGCTGTGTGGTCATGTCACTATTACTCTGCAGAAGAGTTATCTTGCAAACAAAGTGGTATTAAGGGTTGCAGATTGTCAGGAAAATGTAAGGTTGCCAAGGGGAAGGGGACTACAAAATGTTTTGGCTTCTTCCTTCATACTGAAGGAGAACATTTGGATCAACTCTAGGAACTAAGGTAAATGGCATAGCTGATTAAAGTGAGTTGCCCCGCACACCTCTCTTAGACATAGAACATTTCCATTTCCAAGGCCATATTTTTACAGCAATAAACAGAAAACACAGTGATGCCTGCTGTAGGTTGCTATTGCTTTGTGCCGCAGAATGATTTCCTCCCCGGTATATTAATAATTAAACCATCCATTTCTTAAATTTCTGAAGACACTGGAAGAACATGAACGAGAGACAGGGATGAAATCCAAAGAGGCCCGAAAGTACATTTTCAACAGTTTGGATGAAATAGTGCATGTGAGTACATTCAGATGCATTTAATGTATAGAGTTTGTGTGTTTTTTAATGTATTAGCTACCATTTGTGACTAGCTACCTCTAATTTCACTTGTAGGAATTGCTCCCCTGTATCTACTTTCAAGATTTTCCCTTTATTTTAATTTGGGAGTTTGTTTACTTTAAAATACCCAATGTCTTTATATCCATACTCATCCATGGTAGCTTCACTAGTGCACAAGAAATTCATGGAGTTGCTTTACCAATATGACAGTTTTTGTTTATTTATAAAGCATCACCTCTTTAAAAGTTTCAGTCTCCTTTCTGCTGCATGCCAGTTCCACCTGCATGGGAAATATCCCCCCCCTCCAATTTCAATGAATAGTGTTACAACCTAGTGACTACATGGCCTCCAAAGGTTTGTAAAGCTAGGTAATTAAAAATAACACTTGACATTTGGCGGTTTCCTTTATTTTACTAGGTTTTTTTTAAATGAACTGTTCATAGTCCACAAGTTGGCTTGTTTTGAAACTTCCAAAGTTTATCCCAGGCTTACATGTAGTGACAAACCAGAAAATGAAATTTAACTGTGGTGAAGTTCTGTTCCCAGCCACATGGAATGTAGAGAACCATGACAGACTGAAGCATTACATAGGCTCCTTTCTGTTTGTGCATGTAGCACTAAATCATGGCTTAGCATTCCAGGCCGAATTCATGAATGAATCCCACTAGCGGAAGCCGGTGCAATATTGTCTACCAGTGCAGCAGAGCTTTGTGCCCCAAATTGGCTTGGGGAATTGAGGGAACCCCCCAGAAAACTGCATAGGATGAAGAGAATAGAGGCTTGTGCTGACAGAAAAGAAATCCTTTGTGCTACATTGAATTCTTCCCTTTGTGTGAATGCAGCCATTTAGGTTCTAACCATATTTTACAAATACTGTAGTTAGTTAAGTTGATATTTAGCCTGTACTCTGCAGCACGGTTGTTTCTTTAATAGTACCCTTTTAAATGTTCTTATATATATATATAAACATGTTTTGAGGCTTGCTGACATTTCCATCTCCCCTTCCCCTAAAGCTTGTACCACTTCTTTCTATCATCCAGGACTTTTCAAAGTAGAAGGGCACATAGAATGAGGTTTTGCTTGCAATGTAATTAAAAATTGCACTTCTTATGCTGCCACTGATAATTGTTTGTATAGTGTTGTTTTACTGCTATTTGTTTTATTGTGGAATTTAATTATGATTTTGCGGTCATTTATATTTTTATACAAAGCTGCCTTGAGTTTAATAATATCTTGAAAGGCAGGATATAAATATTTGAATGAAAATGTTGTTATTGATGAATGATAAATGCCTGATTGTTTTCACTCTGACATTTACTCGTTCAACACCAGGTGAACATGGTGATGGATTTAGAAGGAAGTGACCTGTTGGCAGAGAAAGCAGACAGAAGAGAGTTTGTCAGCCTGTTGAAGAAAATGCTGTTGATAGATGCTGACTCAAGAATCACTCCAGTTGACACACTGAACCATCCTTTTATTACCATGAAGCACCTCCTTGATTTTCCTCATAGCAACCAGTATGTTGTATAACACACTTGTAAAAGTAATCATGGGCAAGCCTTTTTGAAAGGGTTCCATGCTACCCATGCTGCTATGTTTGCTGTAGTTCCTGTGCCTTTTGATTCTGGGCCACATTCTCCTGGTTAGTGCAGATTACAACAGAACCAGGGTTTCAGTAGCTATGGCTTTTCCCCATACACAAGCATTAGTTAGTCTCGGTTGCTATGTTGCCTGTTGCTGGTGTGCTGCTTTATATTAGAACTAGAAAATAAAGGATAACTGAATCCAGGAATTATTTTGAATTACCACAGCCAGCCACACACATTCATAGTCACAAATAAAAAGACAAAACACTAGCTGGCAAGCGTTTTATTCTTATTCTTTTACTATCTTTTTGGAACAGAAAAGAAAATACAAGGAAAATTCACCAAACAAACCATACAGAAAGTACACAGAAAGTTGAATAATACTGTAGTGACTGCCAGATCTCAGATGAATCCAACACACGAAAGATGCATAACAGTTGCTAGGGGAAAAGGAGGGACATCCTATGGAAATGGCGAGGACTAGAAAATAAGAGAGAAGCAGGAAAAGTGTACTAATGGAGATAGGAAAACAGACAACTCACTTACCAATCACAGCTCTCACTTCTCCCATTGGCTTAAAACACTTGACAGGCAGGAGCAACCGTCCAGACAGAAATTGCTTAGAAGAGTACCTGCACATTTTATTACATGACATTCTTTCTAGGAGGATTGCAGAATTACTTTAAAACAAAAGAGAAAGAAAGCTCAGAATCTGGGGACCCTGCTGGGGGGCTACGGTGAATGCCTTTGTAAGCACTGGGTTGGCAGCCCCCTGGCTTAGAGTGTCCTCTGGCCCAGGCATCTTGCTTCTCCTTTCTTTCTTAACCACAGTCTACAGCCAGTGTTTGTTTTTGGCTTTAGGTCATGGTTAGGGAGAAGAGAGCTTAATTCTGTTCCTGGATTCAGGCAGCTAAACTTTGACTAAGCTGCCACACTGCACTGATTTAAAAGGCTGTGGGAGGGGCAAAGTGGGCATCAGCTTCTCTTTGGGAGCCAGCACATTTGCATGTTCCTGGTAAGCTGTAGTGTGGCTAAACCATAACCAGGTCAATGAGAGTAAAAAACTTGTGTGGGTCCCCCCCCCAATTGAGACTGAGGTTTTAACCTGTTTAGTCTCTAAGGAAAATAGTCTGGGCCAGTCCTGGGATTGTTATAGTGGGTATTTGTGGGTTGTTGTCACTTACTTTCCTCCACAACTCATTCTTTCTTCTCTTTGCCATCAGAGTGAAATCCTGTTTTCATATCATGGACATTTGCAAGTACCGATCAAATTCATATGATACAAATAATCGCAATAAAACAGTGCACCTGAGACCAATTGCTTCAGGTAATGCACCAAATCTCTCAGCTAATTTTGCCAAGATTGGTGCAGTACGAAGTCAGGTAAGTACCTTTGATTTCACTTTGGGTCTCCTGTTCCCTTCCACCCTCATCCCAGGGTTTAGATCATGCAAAATAATGAAGGGGGGGCGTGTCTCAAGGCAATGGAAGGGGGCAGGCCTTTCTAAGAGGGGGAATAAAGAGGTATCAGGTTTTAAGGGAATGGTTTTTATGATTTGGACAATGTAGTTGCACATGACATACTTCTGAATAAAAAGGTGAGGTAGAAATTATGTATCCTAAACAGAAGATAAATTAACATATTCACTGTCCATTTCATGCATATTAGGTAGTAGACTAGCTACAGAAGCTCATTGCACAATAAAAATGGTTAAGTTTTAAAAAGTGCCAATAAGTTCTTCATTGTTTTTGCACACAGTGGCTTTGGATATGATGAAATGCAAATGCTTCATCACTCCTATTATTATATTCACCAACCTAAATTGAACAGTCACATTTTCCCCTATGGGGAGATCCAAAAGTTGAAACTATGTCAGAATCATACCAATCTCCTCATGGGTAAAGATGTGGAAGCTAAGTTGGTAACTGAGGCATCTGTGTTTCTTGTTTTTGCTGCTATTTGTTAGCTTGATGCTCTTCAGAGTCTGGAATTGTATTATGGGAGTATAAATAATTGGGAATCCAGGAGTGCCTTGAGACTTTGCTATGGCACTCTTAGCGTTTATCATACTTATCCCCCTACTTGCTCTCTTGTCCACATGGGCCAGGAGAGGTGGCTTCTGTTGTGGCTCTAAATGCCAGCCCTGGTAGAGAACCATGGAGAACAAGCTCTTCAAGATGAGTTACGTTCCTTTTCTAGTAGTTCTCTTGGAAGACATTTTCACAAAATAAAGCCAAAGGTTTTCTGTTCAAGAAATCCTTTGTTGCAGTGCCCCCATGTGGTAAAATATTTAGTGTGCTGGCATGTTCTATATTGCTTTTGCTGCATGCAAAAGCATGAACATCATAATCCTCACACAACATTATAACTTGAGATTTTTTTAAAAAAAATGCATGTGAAAATTGTGGCAATCATTTTGTTAACTGATAATATACCTATTGTTTTCAGGCATTAGCAGGATCTGCCCATTCAGTTATGCACCATGGAATACCACTGCAGGCAGGAACGGCTCAATTTGGTTGCAATGATGCTTTTCAACAAACACTGATTATATGCCCTCCTACTCTCCAAGGTATGAGGCAATTAAAATGACGTGTGATATAAAATTAGATATTCACTTGGTAGTTCAAAGAATCGTCAATTCAGCCTTTTGATAAAACCTACTACAATTAACCAAGATTTTACTTCAGGTTTTCCATTTTCCTTGGATGATCTGATAACATTGAGAACTCTAGTGGACAAGTATTTTCAAGAAGATGAAATTGAAAGGTGATAGTGGAGTCATATTATTGCATTTTGAGGCAGATTTCCTCACTTTTGTATCTAAATTCCACTGCACTTCCTTCCAGTGAACTAAAATAATCACATGGACCTCATGCATGAGTTGTCATTTTGAGAATATCTGTTGGAATCCATAGCCTACACTTATTCAGCGTTAATCTTACTTTACATGGTAAAAATCTAGAAGCACTGTGGGCCTTTCAGTGTTCCCTCTTTTTAGCCTGGCAGCCCTTGACGGTTGCTGTCTGGGTCATGTTTCCTAATATGGATCCTTCTGTAGTCTGTCTGCCCTTTGTTGCTGAAGATTCACTTTTACTTTTGCTTCCTTGACATAATTTATGTTATGCATCTTTATTTTTAAAAATCACATTTAGGAATGTAGGGCTAAAACAGTGCAGACTTTGTGGAATTTCTTTGAACGCCAAGTACACGCGATGACTCCTCTGTCTAATAGGACTTGATGCAAAAGGCTTGCAACATATGTTCTCTGCTTAATCCCAGAACTAAAAAGGATACATCTGATGACTGAAGGGCTTATTTTACATAGGCGACACAGCCTATGTTATAATTTTCTGGCTAGGATACCTTTCTTGTGCTGAATGCTACACTGTGTCTCAAGTGAAGTGTTTCAGGTTTGGTTAATTTGTGGCATGCTGGCACTCGCGTTAATTGGTGCCCACCTCTGATAGAATCAGCATGGAAGCAAGTAGCCCCTGTGTTCCTCTACACTACAGCATTATCTTCTGATTCTCTGGTTGGCCTGCAGCAGATTTGAGCCTGGCTGCTTCAGTCCCATCTTGGCCATGGTGTATGAGGAGAGTGAGGAGTTTTGGGGGATGCTTCTGATTGCTAGATTATGGTTTAGGAATCAGGTCAGAAGCGATTTGGCCCCGGGTGATCACTGGACTGAGCAACATTTCCCTGAGCAAAGTTTGAATCAGGCTCAGAAATTCTGTATGCTAACCTTTTATTAATTTGGATTCAATCTTAACTCCCCTTTTCATATTTGTGAATTAGGAATTCATGCTAATCATGGGAAGCCCAATGGTTACTCTGTAAGAGTTGATAATGCAGTGCCGTTGGTCACACAGGCCCCAACCCTACAGCCACTCCAGATAAGAGGAGTCCTTTCTCAGGTATGTTGTTTGATGCTGTAGGTTTCACATTTTCAGAGTCATAAACATTAGTTAGCTTGACAGATTCTGAAGTAATATCACATCAGTCGAGAGGGACTGTAGATTAGTGACAGGCCAAATGCTTTGCATGTAATCTGTCTCGGCGTTACACTCCCTGCATTACCATGTAAAAGGACCTTTGGGCAGCTGGACTGATAAGATCTGTTATCAGAGCCGTCCGAGAGCTGCTGCCAGTCTGTTCTGACAGTACTTTGGGCTAAATGGACCAGCGGCCTAACTTGAAAAAAGGATGCTAAACATATTGGGATGTAGTTATTCATAACGCTTTATGTGTTTACAACAGACGTGGTCTAACAGAACACAGCAGATACTGCTTCCAGCATGGCAACAAGTGACGCCTGTGGCTCCTCCTACAACACTAGCTTCTGATTCTGTGGCTGGCCCGCAGAGACTTGGAGACTGGGGGTACGTCAAAACAGTATTTTGATTTTGTGCTTGAAAACTAAGTACGCAACTCTGCTATATTTTAATAAGGATGTGTTTTTCTCCGTTCTCCCTAGGAAGATGATTCCCCATGGCAACCATTACAACTCGGTGATGACACAGTCTCTGTTAACCAATCAAATAACTTTATCTGCTCCTCAACCAATCAGTGTGGGCATTGCACATGTAGTCTGGCCTCAGCCCACACCAACCAAGAGAAATAAAGTGTGCCAGAACAGGTTGGTTTTATACGGTGCCTGTGGATCATTTAGATGTAAAAAATAATCATCATTCTTTCAAAATCCCTTTAAAAAGGGGCTGTATATTTATGAATGCTGCATGCTCGCCAAGGTATTACACCTCAAACTAGTTTGTTTAGAACATTTATTTCTTTAAACATTAAATACTGTGTTACAGTTCAAATTGATCAGAAGCCTACCCGTTAAAACCAAGGGATGGTAACAAAATGAGAAATAATGTAAAGTAGCATTTGCTGCCCTTTGATCTTCTCTCTTCTTGTGACAAAAGTGGCTTTGACTATATTTATCTGCAGAAATAGACTTTGGTTTGGTTATTTAAGAATTGCAGGTAGACGCAGTTAGCAGTTCCTAGACTCATGTGCATGAGGAATTGTAAAATTTGGACTATTGAAAATAGAGACATTGTATAATAGTCATAATATGACTTAGAATAGTATTAAGAATAGTCTTTCTTTTGCTGGCAGCAAGAAACACTTTAAGTGCTCTGTGGAGAAAATGTGCCCCATCACTACAGAAGTTATTTACAAAGGTATGGGACATTTCAGTAATGGAGAAACGTAAGACCGGGAAGGACAGTTACACTGGTGAACTATGTTAAGTAACCCCTGATTCATGTCCCCTGAAGTCAGTGAACACAATTCCTGATGGATTTTGAATCTGATTCAAAAATGTTTATGGTGTCCAAGCCAGCATTTCTTCATTCCTTCTTTCCTTTTTAAGAGAATGGTATCTTCAGCGTATTGTACTACATTTCATTGGTAAATCCAACTTTGAACCTTGCATTGCAGCACCTGAACAACCCTGCTTGTGATATGCAATAGTTACCTGAAACGTTTTCCATGATTGCTCTGGAAAACAACATTTACAGTGTTACCTGTATGTTCATTGTTTTATGTTTCATGCGTTGATTTATATTCATTGCTGTTTCAAAGTCTTACGTTCTAGTTTGAGTCAATTTGGGGAGGGTGAAGTAAAGTTACTGCATTTGTTTGATAAAGAACATCTTTATGACATGTCTAAATAAATGTCTTCTTCGCAGGAGTAATGTGTTACAAAATACCAATATCCAAAATTCAGCATTTGTGTCTCCAAAGATAAGCAATGGAAAGGCTGATGAGAAGCTAAGCTGTGCAGAAACACAGGACAATTGTAACTCGGTTGGTCAGGAAAGCAACTGTTGCAAACCACCTGTCAGGCAGGACCCTGATTCATCTGTTTCAAACAAACAGCGACAGGCTATCATTATTGCAGATTCCCCAAGCCCACCAGTCAGTGTGATCACCATCAGCAGTGACACGGATGAAGATGATGTGGCACAAAGGCATTCATTTGCAGAGTAAGTAGTAGCTTTGGGCTTATTTTAACTTCCCTTTTCCTCAGGGTTGTGCTGGGGAGCTGGTGTTTTGGTGATAGTAAGAGGAACTTCCTAAATATACAGCACCAGTACATTCACTTGAATCAGCTTAAATCACTTGGAACACGGCTGCCACCTCTAGGCGGCAGGTTGTTACACCTCTTTGAGTTTACAGCTTTCAGCCTTTGTAGTATAGCTTAGCACACAGTTGGCACTAAATCAATGCAGCTAGAAGTTGCAATTGATGTTTAGCGAGAAGTGTGCAGGATGAATGTTTTATTTATGTATGTTTGCATTTCAGATGTAAAGGGAGCCTAGATTGTGAAGCTTGCCAGAGTACGCTAAATATTGACCGTGTGTGTTCATTAAGCAGTCCTGACAGCACTTTGAGCTCTAGTTCTTCTGGACAATCCAGTCCATCCCCTTGCAAAAGACCCAACAGGTAAGAAATGTACATAACTGGGTTTGATGTCCCTGTGTGGCAATAAGACCTCAGAGTCCCATTTCTAAAACCTATTTCTGGAAGCATTCTTAAGCATAGTGTAATGTTTACATAGTGTAATGTTTTGATCATACCTGCCTCAACAGAGGTTTCTCTCTGTATATGTGACAATGCTTCTGTGCACTGGATTTTTTGGAACAAGGGTTAGGGTAATAAGGAGAAGCCTTAGTATGCCGGATATTGCCTGTCACTGTTAGCCTTCTGTAAAGTCTTGATAATTCTGTTAACATAACTGTTTGGATAGATAGATATATTATTTGAGTATGTGGATGAATCATTTCCCATCAAATATCTGTTAAGTGATTTTACAGTAAAAAAATATCAAAAATAAAACCATCCCCTATGTAAAAACAATTACAAATCCAGTACAGAGATTGTCACTTAAAAGGCTTGTTTAAAAAGGAAGGTCTTCCATAGGCAGTGGGGGAAAAACCATAGAAATGGAGCCTTCCTGATATTTAATGTTTGGTTATGCCAATCATATCGTTTCTGAAGATAGAAAATAATGAATCTTAAAGATAATGGTCAGCAGCACCTTTCTATTATTGTATGCCCAACTGATTCTGTGGTTTTCTTGTAATCTAATGGTGATAGATCAGTTGCATCACTATTTCTTGGATATAAATTTAAATCCACTGTTGAGTTAAATAATTAAGTATTGCAGAGCGAACTCAAATGAGCAGCTCTGTGCAGTTGTGAAAATCATGGATTTGTATCATTTTAAAGATCCTCTATAAAATTACCTTGCTGCCCTGACAACGATTGCCATGACAACTGTGCAACCCTAATTAAAAAGATGAAAGGAATTGCTAGGGCTGAGCCAGATGTCCTCCAGTGAATATTTCTGACATGCAAAAGGGGCTTCACCACCTCCAATTGTTAAGATTAAAGAGTCCCCCCAAGCTTACATTTTTAAACTTGGTTTGTAGTCCTAATCAGCTACAGAATTGGTGTCACTTTTTATTTGAAAGATAACCCTTTCCTACCTAGCAGCAGTAACATAGATATGCAGCTATTCAGATTTGGCTACATGACATCACTTAGGGTAAATGAAGTTAATTTAGCTTTAGAGTGATGTTACAGTTACTAGAATGGATAATAAATGGCAATGAAGTTGCAGCTTTATTGGGGTCTGCAACAGGGTTGCTGCCATCTGAATGATGGTAGGTGGAATATACATGGACACTACCTGTGTTTTGGTTGGGTGCATCTACTTCCCTTCCCCAAGGTGTGGTCTGCTGGCAGAATTAAAGTCTTTTCTGGTGTGAGTGCCACCAGAAATCGACCAGCAGTCAAATTGGTGGATCAGGGCTGATATTTATTTTACTGTTAGTTTATTTCATTTTAAAACATTTATAGGCTGAATTTAGGTGTAAAACTCTCAAGGTGGCTTCAATAATTATGCAGTAAAATATCAACAGTATTTTCCAAACACCAAACAATACTAAATCTAGCAGTATGAAACATCCAGCCCCCCCAAAGAAACCTTAACTATTACCAAAACCATCAGCAACAAGAGAAAACAATAAACAAAACTAAATACACATGCTGTCTGCCCTTTCGTCATAAAAACTTAGAAGTTGCTTAAAACCAGTGACTAGTGAAAAGTGGTCTTGGGGAGAGTGAATTGGGATAAGAGTGCAGCATCTCCATTCATAAGTATTGGTTGATTTCTTGGGGAAAGGTACATTTTATGTACAGATCTGAAGCTCCTTGGTTTTTTGAAGATGTCCACACTTTCCCTAGTAGTTAGTTTATAGAATGAAACTTGGATTGATTTTGGAAAGCTGGAAGTTTAGAGTCAAGAACTTCAGCTCTCCTGTTTAAACTTAATTTTTCCCGTTTTTATTTTGTTTTGTTTTTGGATGTTTGCTGCAAAAGGAATGAATGTGATGTACCCTTCATAATGCTGCTTTACTTTATTTCTGTAGTATGTCAGATGATGAACAAGAAAGTGACACTGTGGATGGTTCTCCCAGTTCAGAGTCTTCAGGCCATGACAGTCCATTCCTAGAAAATAGTTTTGCAGAAGACACAAATGAAAACCCAGAAACAAGAACCTCAGCTAACTTGGAAGCCAAACCAGCTGTCTGTACTGTGGTGGTCCCACCAATGAGGATAGAGAACAGGTTAAATGCAGATGAGCAAATTACAAATGCAGGTAATTGGTGCTTATGTGTTTTCTGTGCTGGCCACGTTTTGTTCAATGTAGATTGCATGAATGGAGGACCACCTGGGTAACAGATCATTTCCTGTCTCTTCTCCTGTATCCTCAAAAACCCTCTCTGGGGGGGACGGGACTCCTTTGAATAGTATGGATTGTGGGGTGGGGTCTTTATGCAGAGGAGTGAGTCACTGAAATCTGTGCAGAGACACACTTGCAGATATTTCTGTCCAATTTTCATGGACTGCTATCTCTGCTTGGTTCTGCATGCACCCCAGTGAAAATAGGGCACACACCATGCAAGATTTCGCCCTGTGGTTTTCAACAATTTCTTCCTCTGCCTGAATCCTCACAGGCTACAGCCTAAGAGGGTCTCCTGGCCCTCCAGAGAGGTTTTTTGGGGTGCACTTCCCCCCCGAACCAATAATAATATGGGATGTGTGTGGTTTGTTATCTTCTCCCTTGAATGTTCTAATGTTTTATAGTTTTAATGTTTACCATTAAGATGAATAAAGTGAAAACATTAGAAGCAACCCTGATGTATCCTATGTTGATCTTTTCATATTTTGCTAGTTACCACCTGTCAACCACTGGTAAAACGCCGATCTGCCCGTATAAAAACAAACCATCCTTCTGGCTTGGGCAATCGTCAACGAAAATTGATATCAGCATTCCATCAACAGCACTCAAACCTCAGTCAGGTATGTATGTAAATATTGCAATGTAGAGATATTTTTATTAGTTCAGATATTTTAATGTTGAAATCTACTGCACACACATGACTCAAACCCACCCCCACTACTTCATCTATCTTTCATACTGACCTTTGTTAACTATAATTTTAATCAAACTAACCAAAGAGAAACTTTCAGACTGGTTGAGATATCAGGTAGAGACAATTAACATGCAGTATGCTGGGCTTCCTCGAAGTCTAAATAGCAACTGCAGTGCATACATAGTTTGATATCCCAGTTCCTGATGGTGGAGTAGACCACTACAAACATATGACATCAATCTTCCAGAGTCTGCATTTGACACTCTATTTCTTTTCTAGCGTAACACAAGATTCTGGTTTGGACCTAAAGCTCTAAATGGCTTTGAACCTACCTATCTAAGGGGCTGCCATTCTTCTGTAGATGCTTTCCTGAGGATACCTTTTACACACCAGATAATACTGAGGACTCGTACAGTGGTATTTTCTGTGAATGTTGCGAGTGGTTAAGCATACAGCAAGAAATTGTATCTACACGTACATTTTGGGCGATATTCTGTTAATGAGTCCTGTCAGTACAAGCATTTCACAATGGGATTTCCCCCCTTCTCTGCCTGTGTAGGCCCATGTCCTCACCGAGTCTGTTCCAGAGAGTTGGAAACAGATTTGGTGGGTGGGTGGAGGGTGGGAGGAGAGGGCTATAACTTCCCATTTCCCAAGCAGAAATGTTTGCTCCGACAGAACGTTTGCCTTACTGCTTTCTTTGATTCCATCCATTGTGTTCAAGTCTGAGAGCGCCTTCAAAAAGTTGTGTAGGAGCTGCTCCTTCATAGTTATGTTTTTTTTTTCTTAAATAAGAAAGAGGATTAAACAAAGCCATTGAGAAAAGTTAATTTAATTCAAATACTGGCTCTGGCAATACCTTGAAAGGCCGCAGTATATGTGACATGACCACAACGGCATGGATAAGTGGGACTTGTGTGATTTGCCCTACTTGCGTAGTTGTGATATTTACATTGGGACATGCATACACATACACCATAGTTGTGTAGGAGAACACACACACACACACACACACACACACACACACACACACACACATAGTATGGTTCATTTGAATGTGAAAGTGGGCCAAAGTCTAAGTGTTACCCAGTAAGTTTTGTTTTGTTTAAGCATATTTGCTGGTGCTTTGGATCAGTGTGGATCTGGTTTATTCATGCATTCATTTGTGTTTTGTGCTACAAAATTTGTGACTTATGTGTGCTTGTTTTCAACTCATAGATAAGTTTTCTAGAAGTCTCATGACTATATTGAGAAGCATAACTTATAATTTGGTTATTCATACATTCATGAGTTTGTAGATTCCTTTGAAAAAAATCTAGTTGAAATTCTCTCATTGTATTTCCATATATAGGTGTGCACAATATCATTTGTGATGTTACATATAGATTGGTTTTAAGGGGCAGGGTTCAAGAGAGAAACTTCAAAACTAATATAGTCAAATTTACCTGAAGGTATTCTGAACTGCCTCTCCTATTGCATCACATATCCAGTGTCAGATAATGTGATCAATAATTCATATAAAAAGCTTTGAGCTTCTTAATTCATAATGCCATACATCATAGTCTATAAATTGTTCTTATAATAGGGGACATTAACTGTTGGCTCTCAAGCCATTCACATGAGAGGTCTTGTCTAATTCCCAGTTGCCAGAACTATTTTGTTTTCCACTTTCCGCCAGTCCCAACATTATAAGATGGGGTGGAACAGAAGATAGGCTGTTCTTCCTGTCACAGTATGAGGATTTTGGGGTCACCAGGTTCAGAATAGGAGAAAAAACACAACTGCACACAATGGATTTGGATTTGCAAATGAAAGAGCTCCTTCCATTCACAGACAGAACTGTGATTTAGTGGAGGCTTCTATGGGGGAGGGGGGAGAGAAGAAGGAAAGCGATTTTCCAATTTCTCCTTCCCCTAGAGCCTCCAGTGCCGCCTCTCACATGGTTCCAGAGGGTCCTCCAACCCTCTAGGGTAGCTTTTCAGAGGGCTGTAGAGGGACAGACATAAGTAAAAATTGCCTGCTCCCCCCTTCAGTGGGAATATTCTATGATCAAAGTTTCACTTAAAGAAACTCTGGATCCAGGTCAACAAATATTAAAATTAGGAGCTGTAATTGCTGCAGTACGTGTTGACCAACACTAATTTGCATGGCTTTAAAAAGGAATGGACAAATTCAAGGTGGATAATTCCGTCAGGCTATTCCAATCCTAACTAGATGGAAACTCTATATTCAAAGATTATATACCTCTGAGTACCAGATGGTGGGGACAAACTGAGGATGATTTTCCTCATGCCTTGCTTCTAATCTTCTCAGAAGCATCTAGCCCAGGTGTCTTTAAGCTTTTCAGACCAACGACCCACTTCCAACCCAAACATGCATTTGGGGACCCATTTCTTAACCTTTTACCATATATTTGCATGGTGATAGTACTCCTGTTGTGTGACCCACCTTGGGTCAGGCTGTGACCCACAAGTATGGCCCCATCCCACCAGCTGAAGACCACTGATCTAGCTGACCATTTATGGGAACAAAATGCCAAACCAGACGACCCCTTGGTTTGATCCAGCAGCGTAGTTCTTATGCTTGTGGGGTGGTGGACATATATGACCACAAGGAGGTGGAGGAAGCCCATCCCCAAAGATGTTTCAGGCAGCGTTGGTGGGAACAGAAGAAAGATTGTTTAGATGTGATAGCTGTCCACTTTGGAGACGGGGGAATCTTGTATTTACTACTTGAAATTAACTGCAGTTTCTCTTGAGACAGGTTCAACACTTTGGATCTGGGTCTCAGGAGTGGAATGGAAACTGTGGTCATTGGAGACAGCAGGCTTATATCCCAGCTAATGTTGCCAGTCATGCATTCTCCCTTCAACATGGAAGTCCCACTCATACCTCAGTCCATGCACATTTGGCTGGAAGTACACATCTTGGAGGACAGCCTGCTATTCTGCCGTATCCATCATCTGCGCCCCTCACTACTGCTGCTCCCGTTGCCCACATCCTAGCCTCACCATGTACCTCAAGACCGATCTTACAGCATCCCACTTACAGTATCTCTCATCATGGTGGCCTAGTTCACCAGGTCCCAGTGGGAATAAATCCCCGACTGCTACCTTCCCCAACCATCCACCAGACTCAGTACAAACCAATTTTCCCACCACATTCTTACATTGCATCACCTGCTTACACAGGATTTCCATTGAGTCCAACGAAACTCAGCCAGTATCCATTTATGTGAGAACTCAAGTACGCTGACAGAGCTCAGTGATACATACATGTGATTTGAGAGGAAAACATGGTATTTAATAAATATTAGCCATGGCACAACAAAAAGATATTTTTTTTAATCATGTTAGACTTGGGTGCAATTTAAACAACCTTGAGCTTTAACTCACTTTTAATGTGTTTTTGCACATTTGGTATAAATTTGTCTTTAGTCATGTTATCTTCTTATAGAGTAACTCCAGACAGGTGACTTATGGGAGCAGAAATCCAGTTTTGCTCCTACTATTTTTTATAAAATTGCCTTCTAACTAGTGCGAGACACGTCTACATTTGGGAAGCCATTGAGTGTACAGATTTAGAGCAACAGATGCACATGTGTCATCAGTATCATGTATGAGTAACTTGTTTGTATTATGTATCTTGGTGTTCAGTGTCGAGTCACTTATCTAAAAAAGGTTGAGCTGTTCTTCACATTGCATGTGTCCTTTGCATGGGCAAAAACAAAGTTGCCTAGAAATTTGCTCTTAAATGTTGGTGTCCTAATAATCTCAGCTGCATTGTAAACTGTTCCCACACATAGTGCCTTAAATATTTGAGGTTGTTAATGTTACTATATTATAAATGTTGAGGACTGCAGCACTTAACATTCAGTTTTGCTGATTATTTCATAGAGTTATGCGCTCTCTCTCTCTCTCTCTCTTTTTTTTTATTTGTGTGTGGTATGATTTTAGTATAGGTTGTGATTTCTTTATCTAGGGGACAGCATGTTTTGCTGTAGCTGAATTTTGCTGTCTAATATTTCCCCCCAAATGATCAGCTTCATGGAAAGCATTTTGTAGTTCATAGGAAAAGTTGATTCAGTAGCTGTTGAGTTAAAAAAATGGTGTTTTATACTGTTCAGTGGAACTGCAATACAATCTAAGTAATTTATTTTCAAAGTGTTTAAGTCCAACTGGATTTTAATAACCTGTTAGAGGTGCAGTAGGCATGACTTGGCTAGATTATGAAAGAAAAAAGCAAAATGCTCATTGATTCATGCTGTGGTTTCATCTTAGCTTGAGCAAACCATGCAGTATTTAATAAATAGTAGCAGAATATTTACTATTGAAGCTTGAAAAGGTGTGAGTACTTTGTGTGCAATTTTTCATTTATGCATGGGAGAGATTTTAGCCTTTTTACATCTAGTATTTGTTCTAGCCTTTTTTGGGGGTGGGGGTATTTTCTTATTTAATACATTCCGTCAGGGACAACAAATTACATGCATTTTCCCCTCTAGGAAGTGCATCATTTCTCTCTGTGTGTGTGTGTGTGTGTGTGTTTTTTTTTTTGTTCTTGTTCAAATAAGATTGCTTTTGCAGCACCAAAGACTTAATCATCCATTTCCTATTAAAAGGTAGCTACTTTTTTCATAGACCTCAAGTGTAGTGATAGGGATGGGTTTTAAAAGGAGGGTATTAAAGTGAGGTTGTGTTTTAGCTTATGAGGCAAGTAATAAATTGTATCATCTATCTTGAATGTATCATAGATAAGCTGCTATATAATGATTGCCACTTCAGATAGCTGTGAAATTAGGTGATTTAACTAGTTCTTACCCTTCTAATTTCTGTATAAGTCTAATGACATGAAATGGAAGTATGGGGTTGATTTTGTTTTTGTTTGCTTTCATGTTTGGAGTGTTGTAACTACTATATTGTAAATGATGGAAGACAATTGCATATGTTATTTTGGGGTGTGTTATTTGCATCAGTATTTTATCTCCATTAACTATCATTGCATATAAATGGGTGTATCCATGTAATTTAATTTGTATGTGTTCATATTGACATTGTGTAGACACTTAAGAAAACTATCTTGGTGGCTTGACTTAACTTTTTTTTTATATAAACAGAGATTCTGGAATACAGTTATTGCAGCATAGACTGGAATAGGAGTGCAAAGGGTTTCTCTCAAGCACAATCCTAGGCATGTTTACTTAAAAGTAATTCCCACAGAGTTCAGTGGGCATTACTTCTAGGAAAGTGTGAGGATTGCAGCCTCAGCAGTCTAACAGCTGATAGAGTTTTTCTTTGTTCCATTAACACAAGCAGTGTTTTATTTAATGAATGTCTAAGTGGAAAAAAATGTGCCTACATTTGATTTACTTTTCAGGACTGAAATACAGCAGTATTAGTTGACAGAAACCAAAACCAGCAGTACATTTTAATGGCTGAATATGGAAATAAACCCTAACCCTTTCTCACAACTCTTAGGCCACAGTCAGAGAGCTGCAGCTTTGCATGACCAGGTGGGGCTTTAAATTGCCCTGTGTCATGTAACCTCCCCCCGCCCACAAAAAAAAATCACTTCTGACAGTTGGAAAAGCTTAAAACCCAGCTTTGTGATAATGGCATGGAAGAGTTGCTGTTCATATGAAAAGAGTGACAGGTCCCTCTGAGTGCAGACATGCTCTTGGGCACACTAAAGGAGTATTCTGGGTTTTTCATAAACTGTTTTATGTGTTTTGTAGAAATACAAATGTGTGTCTCTATCAAATAAAGACAAGAATAACGTGATCTAATTTGAAACCTTTTCAGCATATATTGAAGCAGATGGAATCAAGAAAATAATCAAGCAGATTTTGTCATGTTCCTTAATGTTTATGGTTCAATAAATTCCTCTTTTCTGTTAACTCCTTGGTGTTGAGAATGGCATTTCTTGGTGCTTATCTCCATTGCTGGCAGTGGACGCATCAGGAGCCATGAGCACCAGAAGTTAGCTTACTTTTTCTATAATTGTCACCAAATAAAAATGAAAATGTATTCTCTTAATTTACTTGGACCTGTCTTGCTCTGTAGAGTATTTACTATGTTTTAAATTGTGTTTGGGATACAAAGCTAATGTACTTGATACATTACACCATGTCAAACATAGAACCGCTTCTAAGAGTAATACCCCAAAGGTAGCCTCTGACTCCTAGCATATTGCAAAAGAGCAAATATTTTTTACTTTTCAGAAGTGATAAATTAAGTTCTGCCACAATTAGCACTGAGCATTAATGTGCTACTCAACAACCAGTTCTGCAATGAGCATTGCAGTGAAGGACTAGATCTTCTGCCCTCTCTCAGGCTATACTCTGCAGTTGCACAGCAAAACAGTTCTGTTGACTTTGGCTGCAGCGGAATAATTTAGCTGTGGGATAACCTACTTATGGTTGCTATGGCTTTAGGAGGGCTAAGGGTCTGTCCAGACAAAAAATTGGTGTAAATCTATGGTCAATGTAATCCCATATATACATCTTATTCTTCTGATGCCTTTTAAATAAAACACTGCACGATAACAAAATTGCATACGATTTTCAATTTGGAAATTTAATTTTTATATGAATCCCTTGTATTCAGTTTTTAACTTTAATTCAGGGTGTGTTATTGATCAAATATACTACTGTATTAACTAATTATTTTATTTTTAATTTTCAAATATTCTGTATTTACAGCTAATTTTAACTTGGTTTGTGTTCGGTAAATGCTAAAATCACACTGCAAGCTGTAGAAAGATTTGTTTTAGAACTAATATAGATTTGGTTACTAAGTTTGAACTGTTACAGTTTAACAATTATTTGTAGACTTGTGGCTTTTTTGTTCTTGATTTCTGTGCTACACTAGTTTGCCATGTAGCAATTGCACTGTGCAATATTACAATAAGAGGACTGGGAAAATTTTTATGTATGTAATGTTTCCTACAGTTTGCGATAGTATTTCTCTCTAGTTCTCAGTGATTTAAATGTGACCAAGCCTTCTGTACTTTGTCACAAAAAGCGGGTTTTCCAGGTGACTATTTTGGTGAGTGTCAAAATAAGAATTTATGGTGTATTACTGTCAAGATTCACTTTGAATTAAAATATATATTGCAGCAAATGGAACTTGTCGGCTTTTATTTTTATTAAAGTAGATTGAGATAACTGAAAAGTTTTTCAATCTTTTCTCTAACTCTCAAGGGCTCATTTATATAAATTTCCAGTTTCACAGGATTCAGGCCACCAGCTTTATCTTAGTGATGTGATTTCCCCCCAAATAGTTTGACTGAAGTGATCTTCAAGAACACTTGCGCTTCCATTTTTGGCCGGTCAACAGAAAATGTAACTATTGGAACACATGGTGGTTTTGGACTTCATTGAAAATTGCAGCTTTTCTGTCATGTAGTTCCTCTGAGATGCCAGTGGAATGGTGATGGTACAAGTTGCCAAATGGTGGGGAAAGCATTCATCTAAAGGATGTATTGGGACATGATGCTCCAGTAGATTATTATTTATTTCCATTGGCAATGGAATACATGTGATCTGTTTTAGAGGAGCAGACAGTCTGATGTGGAATTAATAGAAAGGAATACCTGCTCATGCCAGTCCCATGCAGAGAATCATTGTGAAAAAACCCCATAGTTTATTCATAAAGCAGTTACACTTTTTTTTGCCAAAGCTCCTAATTTTGATGAAGGATGATGAAAATATCAGGAGTGGGAGAAGGAATAAAGGTAAAGGGACCCTGACCATTAGGTCCAGTTGTGGCTGACTCTGGGGTTGCGGCGCTCATCTCGCTTTATTGGCCGAGGGAGCCGGCGTACAGCTTCCGTGTCATGTGGCCAGCATGACTAAACCGCTTCTGGCGAACCAGAGCAGCACACGGAAACACCGTTTACCTTCCCGCTGGAGCAGTACCTATTTAAATACTTGCACTTTGACATGCTTTTGAACTGCTAGGTTCGCAGGAGCAGGGACCGAGCAACGGGAGCTCACCCTGTTGCGGGGATTCGAACTGCCGACGTTCTGATCGGCAAGTCCTAGGCTCTGTGGTTTAACCCACAGCACCACCCACATCCAGGAGAAGGAATAGCCAGTTCCTATTTCTGTTAAGGCTGCTGTGGATGTTACATTATTATACCTTGTGGTGCCATCTGCATTTTAGTTCTAGGTAGCTGAAAGCCTACCTCACAAGGGCAATGGTTAGTGAGAAATGGGCAAACAGTAACAATAGCCTATCCCCAATATAACGTGGAAGCAAAGTGAAACTGCCATGGAATATAATATATAACTAGTTTCCTTAGGGCAAATTTCCCCATCCCCAACGACCTGGACATAGATGTAGAAAAGATCTCCAAGAGATGAAGCAATTGATGTGCAGAATGCAATAGGAGATCTTTTGCCAATCCTTGTGCTATTTCCAGGTAGTAGCAAGTTACTGATCAGAGGTCAGCAAACTTTTTTAGCAGGGGGCCGGTCCACTGTCCCTCAGACCTTGTGGGGGGCTGGACTAGATTTTGGAAAAAAATAATGAACGAATTCCTATGCCTCACAAATAACCCAGAGATGCATTTTAAATAAAATGACATATTCTACTCGTGTAAAAGCATGCTGATTCCCATACTGTCCGCAGGCCTGATTGAGAAGGCAATTGGGCCAGATCTGGCCCCTGGGCCTTAGTTTGCCTACCCATGCTATTGATGCTAATTATGCTTTTGGACAAGACAAGACAGTAAGTTTCCTTTTATTGAGGTTGGTACATGCTTTGAATAGAAAAGCATAGCAAAGATGTTGGAGCCTGATCTGAGGCTACCGCTTAGCACAGTACATTACTACTACTATTTTTTTTAAAAAAGAACTTCCTTTGCCCGTGTGGAAACACCAATGCATTGATTATTGGTTGAGGTTTCTCAAATGGTACATTTTCACTAGTCCAACCCAGTGTTCTTTTTTGTTCTTTGTTCCATCCAATTGATCCATCCAATTGTACAGTTTTAGGATAAGCGTCATTTTTTCCTTCCAAGCAATGTGTATTTTTGAATTATAGGTATTCCCTCCCTTCATCTGTAATGTAATGGGAATAAAAGGATAATCAAGAATAATAAATATTTATTCTGAAAATTCCCCAATCTATGTTGCACACACATTGTAATTTGAAGGCCACTTTACACAAGATGTTTTTCCTACATAGTTGTTTCCATGAGTTTTACTCCTAGCAGACATTGGCATGCTGCATTTGAGATCTTTGTATTTTCAGTAGCTGAATCATTGGGATACCAAAGTAATTGCAAAATCCGGCATGTGAGAAATATCAGCTGACATTGTACTTTTGCAGCATGTCATAAAATTTTAAATTCACACTATGGGTATTTGCTGACTTAATAAAATTTGATAAATAAAAGCATTTAAAATTTCAAGTAATAGAATTGCATTCCACCAGGGGGCTCTGCCCGAATGTTTCAGCAAGATTACTATGACAGGAGCAAATTTTTTCCTGCTCCTTTTGGAAGTTTCACAGCATTGCATGGAATCTTGTTTCCCATGAAATATGAAAGAAGCAGCTTAAATTGATAGAATTTCCATTAACATTTGTTTGCACTTTCTTAAAATACTAATAATGCAGAGCATTTTGCTTCATTTAGCAATATTAGGACTACAGATTTAGGTGGGATATGTGTGTATGTTAGGATTAGCCCTCTCAAACAAAATAAAACAGTAACAGTATTGCAAACCATAAGACACAACATTGATGACACGGCAACACATCTAAAAATCATCACAGCAGCTGAGAGGAGCAATGCCTGCAGACAAAAAATGAAATGAGTGCAAAAATAGTATCTTAAAAGACTACCAACAGAAAATTGAATGTATTTTAGCTTCATATTATTTATTTCCTGGGAATGTAGCTGCCAAGCATTCAAGACAGAATTATCTTTTTTGTTTATTCAGCATTCGGAATTGTGCTTCTTTTTAATGATATCTGCAGCCTTAATTCTTGAATCGTCTTATGGGTATTTTGTAGAAAATTTTGTTTTCCAACTTTGCTTTTTTGCTACCCTCATTCTTTTTCTATTGCTCTTTGTTACATTTTTATCAGGCTTCTTTAAAAGTGTTCTTTCCCCTCCACCCCAGCTTGTTCCTCAGTGGGGAAATTTAAGAATTGCTTTAACTAAGAATTTGATCAGGGTCATTTTTTCCCCAGAGGGAAAAAGTGGACACGAAATAGAGATTATTTGTTTAATTTAAAAGTGGTATGACAAGGAGCACAGGTGAAAGGTGATTCCTGTACCCCGCAAACCCTTATCATGACAACAGCATCCACAACACATAGCTTCCACACTTTTGCAATAAAGGAAAAGAATGAGTTATCCTGCTGCCACCCCCCTGAGGAAAAACACATTTTGTTGAAGTAGAAGAAATGGCCAGAGCACTATTGGCCAGAATAGGGTTGCCCACCCCAGCATTTGATTGCCCATTGATTTGCCTACCCTGCCTGAATTATAGAGAATTTGAAATACAGGGTTTTAAGTATAAAAATAAAAAGGGTGGTATTCAACTAGGTTTTACAGAGAGGAGGTACACTGGAATTAATGCACATTAGGTCCATTAATATCAATAGGTCTCTGCTTAAAAATTGCATACCACAGACAGGGTTGTATCGCACAAAATTGTCCCATTTGTGCAATAGAAATTTGCCTTCCTCTCTGCCTCCTGTACCCTTCAGATCTGTTCTGGGGTTTCACCTGACCCTCTGCACCAGATTTGGGGGGAGGAGAGAGGAGGAAGAGGACATTCTGTTGCACAAACAAGTCCTTGTGCAAACAGGTTGTTTTGGCTGGGCACAGTTTACAAATGTTAGAACATACCTATAAGATAACATACATTAACAACAGGCTCAATATTATGCTCTATGAAGTGTAACTCTCCAAAATGGTCATAATCCAGTGACAAAAGCTTCCTTATAAAGCTACTACAGGGCTGCATATTTTATTAATGCAAGGTGTTGTCAATTTGTCTTCAGACTCTTTATCTTACAATTTCCCCAAGCATTCTTGTTTCAAAGGTGTCTTCTTACAGTCCCAATGAAGAGCATAGAAGTTCTGTTGAGAAGACATTATCATACAAGACAAACTATCTTCTCCCTCTAAATCTATATTATTTGCATATATATATATATATATATATATATATATATATATATATATGCAGTTGGGTTATATATCCTGAGATTCCCCCCCAGATAACTCCACCTTCTGCTTCTGAACACCACCACCCCCATCGTTCTGCCCAGACACTGAGGTCCAGCGCCGAGGGCCTTCTGGCGGTTCCCTCATTGCGAGAAGCAAAGCTACACGGAACCAGGCAGAGGGCCTTCTCGGTAGTGGCACCCGCCCTGTGGAACGCCCTCCCATCAGATGTCAAAGTGATAAATAACTACCTGACATTCAGAAGACATCTTAAGGCAGCCCTGTTCAGGGAAGTTTTTAATCTGTGATATTTTAGTGTATTTTGGTTTCTATGGAAGCCACCCAGAGTGGCTGGGGAAACCCAGCCAGATGGGCGGGGTACAAATAATAAATTATTATTATTATTATTATTATTATTACTAAAGAATCTTAGTAACATGCTATGGGGTGAAATCAGAGAGCACACATATATTGACCAAATGGTACTTCCTCACTTAGCACCCACAGCCTGACATGGTACCTGGTAATAATATAGTGAGCACAAGTGGGACCCATGTGGGCAGCAAGACTGAAGCACTCTCTGTGCACCTTGGAAGAAAACTAGGAATATTTACACAAATCGTACACTCTACCCCTTAGCATTCCCAATGTGCATCTGTATCTGCTGTAATCATTCTTGAGAGAGCACAAACTGGAAACAAACATTGGCATATCAAGCAGTAATTAGTGATGGGTTCATAATAAAAAAAATCCCAGCATAAGTATTAATGAATCATCCTTGACACCATTACCTCTCCCAAAGAGACAGTCAAGGAGCAGGCCAAGGTGAGAGTGTTCCCATTGTAAGGCAGGAGAAGAGAGCCTGGCCTCACTGACCCATGCCTGGTAACCTCCAAGATCACTATAATGTTTTATTTATGTATGTGGGACTG